GGGTAAAGCGAAGATGTATCAGGGCTTAGCGCTAGGCTAACTGAAGGCATAACCATTATTGATGGAACGAGTGAAATTGGGGTGCTCAAGAGGCCAGATTTAGAGGAGTATAGATATCCTAGAGCATTGTAGGCTTGGAAGAGACTGCAGAGACAGGGAAGGAACTTGAAAACAGGGATGAGAATTTTAAAATCAAAACATCACTTGATGTAAGGCAGTTTAGGTAGATTAGCGAACATAAGGTGACTTGGTGCAGATTACTTTGTGGCAGCAAAGATTCAGATGACCTTAAGTCGACAGAGAGTAGAATGTGTAACCTGGAACATGACAGACATTGAGACTGTTAAAGATAGAGACAGCAAAAATGTAAATGCAGTTTCCAGCAGCAATTGAACTCAGGCAGAGGTGAAGTTGAGCAGTGTCAAGGAGGCGGAAATACGCAGTTTTAATGTTGCCACAAATGAGGTTGGAAGCTCATCTTTGGATCAATAATTAACCCCTTAAGAATTTGAGATGATAATTTTCATTTCTCATGCCTTTTTCCAGAATGGAGCTTGTGTTGGGATTAGTTGCAATGAATAGTGGAAAGCCAAATATGATTGAAACTTTGGACAATTGCTTGATTTGTTTGGTGTTGTTTAAGTGAGAGTTTTGTTTCCCCTCCCTGCAGATGGTGTTCATTGCCTAAACTGTCTTGATTATTGTGTATCATGTGACATTCACTGATTCATATTTTAACACAGAAGATCATCAGCTGTTGATCCTGAAGGGGAACCCTAACTTGTATTGAGGCCAGTTGTCACCTTCTTGAAGACCATAGGTTGTTCAGTATGCGTGTGAGTTCTGTAATGATTAGGAAAACGCAAGCTGCAGTAGCTTGTGTAGAAACATTCTGGAAAGGATAACCTAAATTGAATCATTGTGGTGCTGCTTGGGAATAAATAATTTTGACATAATTCAGACTTCTCTGATTGTAGGTGGAAGCTTGCCTTTCTCTACTTCAGTTAATTTATTTCTGTGAAATGGTTGAATGCAGAGATTGTGTATGGGCAGTCATGCAAATTAGGCTTATTTTAATAATAAATTGAGAAATGGTGTTACACTTCAGTTCCTCAGATACCATAGTTCTCCCTTAAGTCAGCACTCACACTGTCAAAAGGACTACTTTTCCATCTGAGCTGGTGTATAATGTAAATTACATTTTGTTTTCCAGCGCACGTTGCAATCCCTGTTGCCATACTTGGCTGCAAAGTCTAGTACTACGTCTTCATTGCTGATACGGACCATAGCAAAACAATTGAATGTCAATCGCCGAGAGATATTGATCAACAACTTTAAATATATCTTTTCTCACCTGGTTTGTTCCTGCTCAAAGGATGAACTTGAGCGTGGTCTCCATTATCTCCAGGTAAAACCATGTGTTTGTGTTAAATAACAAGGGCTTTAAATATGATACTGCTGGTTAAAAATTATTTGGTTGAACCAACTTATGAAAAATAATTGTGGCATTCAAGAGGGCATTAGATAATTAATTAAAGAGAGACAATATTTAGGATTATGGAGAAGAGGCAGGAGAATGTCTCTGAGTTATAGTGCTGGTTTAGCAATTTAGCATAGACATGATGAGACAAATGGCGTATTTTTATGCCTTAACAACTCTGATTCTGTGAAGATGGAAGCTTATATTATGATCTGAAATTGTTAATTTAGTGTTGAGTCTGAAAGGTTTTAAAGTGCCTTACTGAAAGATTAGCTTCCTTTCTGCGATTTTATGTTGAATTCCATTGTGATGGTGTCTGAAGGTGGAAAACTCTTCTCACTCATTCACATTGAACTGTCTAACCTTGGCCTCCTGCGCTATTCCTCTTCCTGCCTTTTACCCTATTGCACACCTCCATTTTGTTCTTCCTGTCCCTTTCCCCACCCTGGTATGTGTTTAAACACCTGTGACAGCTCTAACTTCTTCTGGTTCTGATGAAAGGACATCAAACTGAAATAGCAGGGGCTGTTGCTGATTTTTTTTCAAATTTTCAGTCTTTTATTTTTCGTCAGCCTAGTACTGTACAGTTGTCAGATCTATCATGATGGACCTGAGGGAACCTGTTATGACTACGGAAATGGCAGCAAACTTCTAGGTTTCAATGCTCCATTGACCTATCTGTCTGGTACAGTGTAGATGTGAGTCAGGAAGCAATGCAAGTCATCCAGCGTCTTCTCTGCAGACTTGTAAAATATAATTGTGAGCCATCTATTTAGTTAATTTGTAACTGGAGAAATGTATCCTTTCAGTTTTCAGAAGCATTTCAGGTTGTTGTTTTCTTGTTCTTTTCCTAATGTTTGACTTTTTAAAATTTGTTCTACATGTACTTTTCAGCAAATGCACCCGTCTGTGTCCAACGCATAAACGGTTTTCTTCCAGTGGCAGGACAGAAAAGTTTTCCAAAGTGCGTTGTTTTATTGTTCAGAGATTTTATTTCTGTGCTTCTTACTGCTGTGTTCTATGTCTAGAATGAAACAGAGCTTGAACTGGGCAGCCTTCTCAGACAAGATTTCCAAGGGTTACATAATGAACTACTGTTGCGTATCGGAGAGCACTATCAGCAGGTTTTCAATGGACTGGCCATACTGGCTGCTTCTGCTTCTAGAAATGATCAGTGCCAAGCACCCAGAGACATTACTTCAGCAGAGTTAATGGTAAGGAGACACAGTTCATGTTAAGAGATAACAAGGTGTAGAGCTGGATGACCACAGCAGGCCAAGCAGCATCAGAGGAGCAGGACCTAGGCCCGAAACGTCAGCTTTCCTGTTCCTCTGATGCTGCTTGCCCTGCTGTGTTCATCCAGCTGTACACCTTGTTATCTCAGATTCTCCAGCATCTGCAGTTCCTACTATCTCTGAAACAGTTCATGTTAATTTGCTTTAGACTTCTCTTGTAGGCAAGCTGGTTTTAAAATACAACATACTGCCAGACCCCACACCTTGACTCAGTCAACGTTGTTTCAGTTAGTTTTGTTCATAAAATAGGACAAAATATCCATTGAGCATTGCACATCACCTGTCACAGACTTCCAAGTCCCATATGTGCACATCGCGTTTTCCTCAGGGCTGTGGTATGAGTGCATCACCCCTGGGGACCTCTTCTTTTGCATCTATTCCCATTGCTCCTGCCCTTGGTCCTAAAGTCCCTCTTCTTTGTCTCCATCTCTCTATCCCCCATTCCAAGCTCCTGTTTCCACCCTCCATACTTGCCTTTAAAATCCCTTGTGTCCATTGTCCAGCTCACGCTTATTACCTGTGATTTCAAGGGAAAAAACTCTTGTTTTTCTTCCACACCCCCCTCGCTCTGGAAGTGCTTAGGACATCAGTTACTCCTTGCACTTAACGTCTGCTAGAAGGTGGACAAGGTCAAAATAACTCCTGAAGAAGGAGTGAGACCCCGAAAGTTTGCGTCTTCAAATAAGTCTGTTGGACTATAACCTGGTGTTGTGTGATTTTTGACTTTGTCCACCCCAGTCCAACACCAGCACCTCCACATCATGCCACAAGGTGGAGTCTGGTCACCCTGAATCAGGATGGCTGGTATTCATTTTTGCATTTTTTTCATGTATGTTGTTTATTTTACACGTTGTATCATTTGTAATTATAGGCATTTAAGAATGTGCAACAGTTTAACTGATAATGTCTTATTTCCTTTCTGATGACAAAGTTGTTAAAGTGTTAACTGCAGTATTTCTTTAATAGTGGTTTATTTGTCTCAAATTATTTTCACCTAGGAATGGATAGTGCTGCATATGTACAACATTTTAACCAAAACATTGATATTTTCTGGGGGAAAAAAGTTCTGCATGAACCCAACTCCATTTTTAATATTGATTCCTTTGGGAATTTGTGACCTCAATTTTAAGGAACACAAGTACAACTTTAAGATGACAATTCCACGCTAAAGTTGTTGCTGAGATCCTGAAATGTGCAACTCTACTTACTTCCTGCTCACTGCTTGTCCCTGAGGCTGACACTTTCTTACTTTCTGACCCACTCCAACTCACAGTTTCCCTGCCTGACTTTCCCATTTGCTACCTCTTATCCTGAACGGTCACTGTGAGCAAGGCCTCAGGTGTGGGCCAGAAATTAGTGAGCTGCGAGTTGGAGGTTCATGGAGGGAAGCTGAGTGACAGAATCTCGGCCAGCTGGAGAGGCCTCCGCAATAAGAAGCTAATTGGATCATGTGTACTTCACTAGACTCAGCAATTAACTTCACCAAAGTTAAACACCCAATACCAATTGCATATACAGCCTCTGTTATAACTATAAAACTAAAGTGAAACAATACTGAACAAGGCAATGTATTATATTGCATTATATCATGTATTATAATTAAGATTGTGTGATCTATGATTACTAATCTAGTGATAAAGTGGTCCTTCAACAAAAAACATTTGACAACCACTGCTCTAACTCACTGTTAGAAATCACGCGACACCAGGTTATAGTCCAACAGGTTTATTTGAAAACACTAGCTTTCGGAGCTTCCCACCTTCTTCAGGTGTTAGTGAGAGAGGTAATATCCGACACAGAATTTATAAGTAAAAGATGAAAACATCACACCACTGATGAGGAAGGTTTAAATAAATCTAAGATGCTGTTAAATCTTTAATCAGTTAGAAGGTTTTAATTGATTAATATGTATATGTAAATCCCCAAATTCCTTTCAAGCCACTGTCCTGAGAGAACTAAAGGTTTTATCAGTGTAAAAAAGAGGTGACATTTTAGGTCACACAGTGCATGTTAGGTCTGAGGCCTTGTTTAGAACCTGTTTGTGTTTTGGATTGGAGTCAGACTGGTTTTATTTCTAAAGTACGAAATTACAAAACACCATATTTACTGACTGACAAACAAACCTGTTGGACTATGATCTGGTGTTGTGTGATTTTTGACTTTCTCCTCCATATCATAACTCACTGGTGTTATAGATATTTTCTGATCAGTCTAATTAGTGATGTTATGACACACCACTGGGACAGGTGGGACTTGAACTGGCTGAGCAGTAGGGTAACAAACTTTAGTTAAGTCAATATTTTAAAACACTTCATCTGGAATAAAATAATAGGAAGAGCCTGTTGTTGGTTTTTCAAAAAAATAACATTAATATTTTTTTCTAGGCAGACTACTTGCAGCCAAAATTGTTGGGGATTCTGGCCTTTTTTAATATGCATCTGCTGAGTTCCAGTGTTGGAATGAATGATAAAATGATGGTGAGTAAATTCTTGGTTGTCCTGTGGTTTCAGGAATTTGTACAAAATCAGTTATAAATGGCGTGTTTTAAATTTGTAGGCCATGAACAGTTTAATGTCGTTAATGAAATTGATGGGACCAAAACACATAAGTTCCGTCCGGGTAAAGATGATGACCACTCTGAGGACAGGCCTACGATACAGAGATGAATTTCCTCAATTATGCTGCAGGTTTGTTTTGAAGCGCAGCTTTCAGTTTAAGTGAACAGAAATGCAAAGTTAAAATTATCTTTCTAAAATAAATAAAATCCGACTGATCAATGCTAAATAGAAGTATTACTCTTAAAGACTGCGTGGAGCTTTTTTGCTTTCTTTGGAAGGGCATGGAATGGGACAACTTGTAACAGAGGCAATGCAATAGTTACAGTTTGCCCCTAAATTGCAGCCCAAATGCAGGAAGACCTGAACAATATCCAGACTTGGTCTGAAAAGTGGCAAGTAACACTGTTGCCACATAAATGCCAGGTAATGATCATCTCCAATAAGACACAACCTACCTACCATTCCTTAACTTCACTGGGGTTACCATCACTGAATCTCCCACTGTCAGCATCCTGGGTGTTACGATTGATGAGAAACTCAACTGGACTAGCCTCATAAATACATTGGCTATAAGAGCAGGTCAGAGAGTAGGAATCTTGCAGCAGATAACTCACTTCCTGACTCCCCAAAGCTTGAACATAGAACATTACAGCGAGTACAGGCCCTTTGGCCCTCGATGTTGCGCCGACCTGTGAAACCAATCTGAAGCCCATCTAACCTAAACTATTCCATTATCATCCATATGTTTATCCAGTGACCATTTAAATGCTCTTAAAGTTGGCGAGTCTACTACTTTTGCAGGCAGGGCATTCCACGCCCTTACTACTCTCTGAGTAAAGAACCTACCTCTGACATCTGTCCTATATCTATCACCCCTCAATTTAAAGCTATGTCCCCTCGTGCTAGCCATCACCATCCGAGGAAAACATCACCTACTAGGCGCAAGTCAGGAGTGTGATGAAATATTCTCCACTTGGCTGGATGAATACAGCTCCAACAACACTCAAGAAGCTTGACACCATCCAGGACAAAGCAGGTCACTTTATTGACACCACATCCACAAACATCTATTCCCTCCACCACCAATGTTCAGTATCAACAGTGTGTACTATCTACAAGATGCACTGCAGAAATTCACCAAAGAGCCGTAGACAGCATCTTCCAAACCCATAACCACTTCCATCTAGAATGACGACGGTAATAGATCTGAGGGAACGCCACCGCCTGCAAGCCTCTCATTATCCTGACTGAGAATTATATCACCATTCCTTCAGTGTCGCTGGGTAAAAATCTTGGAAATCTCTCCCTAAGGGACATTGTGGGTCTCCCTACAGCACGTGGACTGCAGTGGTTCAAGAAGGCAGCTCACCACCACCTTCTCAAGGGCAACTAGGGACAGGCAATAAATGCTGGCCCCGCCAGTGATTCCCTCATGTGAATTAAAAACAAAACTTCAAATAATCTGAAATTGATGCTCACGTCCTTACACTAACCTCTTGACCGATTGTCCCCATGCTTGCTCAAATTCTTTGATTGTTGGTCAATAAATGTTTCAACTTTAAAATTCTCATCTATATTTTCAATTCCCACCATGGCCTTACCTCTCACTAGCTCTGTAACCTGTGACCTGCGTCCTTCTGAGTTATTCATGTTAATCTAATTCTGGCCTTTCAATTGTTGATCTTATCTGGGTTGCCTTGGCTCTGAGTTTGACAATACCCTCCTTAAACCCCTTTACATCTCTTTCCTCTTTTTGGACTCTCCTTACAACCTCGTCTGCACCAAGCCTATGGCCATCTTCCCTAACTTCGCTTTATTTGGCTATTAAATTTTGCTTTCTCACTCTCCTTTTAAAGGCACCATATAAATGTACAATGTGACTTTGATTGAAGCAAAATCAAATGTGATATGACAGCCAAAACATTGAGAATCAGGTGAAAATCTTGATCAAGTGTTCAACCTGTATGTTAGTCCCATCTATGACATTAAGACAATGAAGAAACAGTTGTAGAAATTAAACAAGAAAGCAATGACATGGTACAAAGCCAGCACATAATAAGATGACTGAGGGCATTTACATTTGCTTATTTAGTCAATATGTAGATGTACCTACTAGAGAAAGTGCAATACTTGACCTTGTGTTGGGATATAAGGCAGGACAAGTGACTGAGATGTCAGTGGGGGAGCACTTTGGGGCAAGTGACCATAATTCAATTAGTTTTAAAATAGTTATGGAAAAGGATAGAACTGATCAAAAAGTGAAATTTCTAAATTGGAGTAAGGCCAATTTTGACGGTATTAGACAGGAACATTCAAAAATTGGGGGATGCTATTTGCAGATAAAGGGATGTTTGGGAACTGGGAGGCCTTTAAGAATGAGATAAGGAGAGTCCAGAGACAGTATGTTCCCGATCGTGTGAGGGTTAAGGCTGATAGATGTAGGGAATGCTGGGTGACGAGAGAAATTGAGCTTCTTGTCAAGAAAAAGAAGGAAGCATATATCATGTATAGACAGCTGGGATTGAGTGAATCCCTCGAGGAATACAAGGGCAGAAGGTGTATACTCAAGAGGTAAATCAGGAGGGCAAAAAGGGGACATGAGATAGCTGTGGAAGGTAGAATTAAGGAGATTCAGAAGAGGAATACATTAAGGGCAAAAGAGTAACTAGGGAGAGAATAGGGCCCCTTAAAGATCAACAATGCTGTCTTTGTGTCGAACTACAGGAGATGGGTGAGATACTAAAGGAATATTTTGCATCAGTATTTACTGTGGAGAAGGACTTGAAAGCTTGGGAACTTGGGGAAGTAAATATTGATGTCTTTTAAAAAGTTCATACTACTGAAATGCAGGTGCTGGAGGTCTTAAAATGTATAAAGGTTGATAAATCCCCAGGACCTGATAAGGTGAAACCCAGAATTTTGTGAGAAGCTAGGAAAGAGATTGCAGTGTCCCTTGCTGGGATATTTGTATCAGCGACAGCCTTAGGTGTGGTGCCAGAAGACTGGTGATTGGCTAATGTGGTGGCCATTATCTAAGAAAGGTTGTAAGGAAAAGCCAGGGACTATAAGTCGGGAGAGCCTTATGTCAGTGATGGCTAAGTTGTTGGAGGGATTGTTTTTCGTCATGGAGACCTGGACAGAATAGTTTAGATCAGAATCTTGAAAAGACACCTTTACACATTCCAACTATCTGATCCTGTTCTATACAAATGTTTCCTGAGTACATTTTCCCAGAGGTAAGCTAGTTAACTTTTCTCAGTTTTCACAGCTTATTATCTCTTTCATAACATTTTAACAGGTTTCTTACTTAGTGGTCTGTTAATTAAATCTTTTGCTTTTAGAGCTTGGGATTGCTTTGTACGATGCTTAGATCCCAGTTATCTGGGGGCCCTTCTCAGTCAAGTAATTGTGGCTTTGCTGCCTTTGATGTCCATTCAGCCAAAGGAGACGACTGGAATATTTCGCTATCTTATTGTGGAGAACAGGTAAACTAATGCTTATATTATTTGCTTAATTGTTTTTATTCATTCAGCTGGAATTGAGATTGCAGTGGTATTTCTGGGGAAACTATCAGTGTCCTTAGTCCACTAAAACTGACACCAGTGTCTGAAATCCAGAAATGTATAGTTAAACCTGGAAATCTAGAAATTGCTGTCAGTGGTTCTATGCTCCTCCAGATGATGCACTGTTGAGAAATCTCTCTCTCTATACCTCACCAACCCAGCAGGGAATCACCAAATTGACTAAAACTTTTAGGTTGTTATTTGCTGTGAAAATACTTGCAGAAATTGCATCTTGTTGCGGGGTTTATAACTAGATTATTAATGCATTTAGTATTCATTATTGCAATTAAAAATCTTCCAGCTTATGAAAAGGTCATGTTAGATTTGTGCAATGTCAAGTTTCTCTGATAAATTCCACATACTTTAATTATTTGTGAAAAGCTTTTAAAATAATATTTTTGGTTCTAACTTAATCCAGTCAACATTTTATATTGCGACTCTACAATTTAAAATTAAAAGTGAATGTTTTCAGTGCATTCACTATCACTATCTGTAGTCGATTGGAGATCCTCTTTAGTTGGCACTAGATTTAAACTACTATGAGGACAAAGAAGTCTGCTGCATTGTTGTTTTGTTGCTGATGTCAAAATGTGTCATAGTGTCATTGTTATAAAAGGCACAAAGAGCTTGAGATGAAATTATTTTTTATGGTTTTATGAATAACAGAACATACACATACGTTCAAATCGTGACCTCCCCTCTCAGTCTGCTCTTCTATTGAAAGTAACATTTTCACAGATCCAGGTTTGTATTCTGAAAGTGATTAAAAATAGTTCACTCCACCTCCCATCTTTGCAACTGTTCAGTGATGCCTTTAGCACCTCTCTTATTTATATCCGTTTCAAGTGTGAAGTACCTTGTGATGGTCCGCTACAATGAAATCATTGCATTAATTCAGTTGTTTGTTGTCATTGTTTGCAATGTTACTGCAAAAAGCTATCCTGAAAAAAAGACTTGCATCCTTATAGTACATTTGATGATCTTCGATGTCTCAAAATACTTTACAGGTAATAAAATATTTTTGACTTGTATTCACATTGCAACGTACCCGAACAGTTGTGTGCAGCATATTCTCGCAAATAGAGATGTGATAATGACCAGAAAACCTGTTTTGTGATATTGATTGATGGATAAATATTGACAAGGAAAGGTGGCATAGCATCCCTGATTGTCTTTGAAATTGGAACTTTTACATCTGGGCTTTGGATATAACTTCTCATCCAAAACACATTATCTACAATACCACAGTACTCTGTCAATGCATGGGGTCTCTGATTTACACCCGTCCAACTTACAAATGTGATCTCATACAGGGATGTAATTTTAAAGATCTGACATAGGAACATTTCCTGGACTTACGAACAGATCCTTTATATTGTTCTGCATTGTGTTACAACTTGCTTACAAATCAACTAGCGAACGGACTCGGGAAAGGAACCAATTCACAAGCTAGGGACTGCCTACATTGAACTAAATCGTCAGACTTAATTTTTATGCACAAGCCCTGGGGTGGCACTTGAGCCTTCTGTGTTGGGCTGGATCGAGTAGATAGGGTGATGCTGTTCCTGCTTGTAAAAGAAAAAAAGAATGAGAGGACATAGAATGAGAGGAATGATGTGCAAACAAAGCAAGGGTGATGTAAGAAAAAGCTTTCTCTCACTGTGAATACTTAGGGTATGAAATGCTCTGCCTGGAAATTTAGTGGAGGCAGGTTCGATTGAGACATTCTGAGGCCCATTGAATGGGTCGAAATGGTGTGCAAGGATATGGGAAAAAGACAGGCGATTGTCACTGGGCATTGGAGCCATGTCAAACAGCACGTGCAGATGTGCACTAAACAAATTTAAATGTTTCTAAAACTGCTAAGTAAAGTTTTTTGTCACTATTTCAGGGCTGAAGTAAAAGATTTTCTCCATGAGATTTACTTTTTGCCAGAACATCCTGATTTTACTGAGATCCAGAAGGTTCTGCAAGATTATAGAAAGGTGAGCGCCTTACCTTAGTGGCTAGTCATTGATTAAAATTTCACTAAAAATTGGCTAAACAGTAGGGAGGTTTCATGCACTAAAATAGAGATACATGATTGATTGTCAAAATGCTAAATCAAAGTTTTCCAGAGGTTCTTAGAAATTCACAAATTAGTACTGCCAAACACAAGATTGGTCTCCTCCCCAAAGGTATTACCAGGCTTTCACTACCATCTCTTGTCTTTGCTGATTAACCCATCAGTGAACCAGTCTATTAATAAATTAAACTATGTTTAAAAGAATCCAGAAATACTGCTTCAGCTGCCAAGTAGTTAACAAACTTCAGAAGTTCAAAGCAAAAACAGAAATTGCCAGAGAAAGTCATCAAGTCTGGCAGTATCTGTGGAGTGAAGGCAAAGTTAATGATTCGGGACCATTGACCCTTCTTCAGAAGTTAGGTGTCTTTGGTGTTAACATTCACGTTACCAATTTCTGCTTTATGTATGCTGTTTTACAGGAGACTTCTAAAAGCACGGATTTACAAACTGAACTGCAGCTTTCTATGCGTGCTGTTCAGCATGAGAATGTAGATGTCCGTATACATGCACTGACCAGTTTGAAGGATACTTTGTTCAAGAAACAGGTATGCAAGAATGGCTTTAAGTCTTCACCAAATCCATTGATAAGAAAACCACATATGTTAAGTTCAAGATGAATTGTGGCAGAAGAACTTAACATTGTAGTAGTGAAAGATATAACAAGTTATGATGTACTACATTTTAACACCATAAGCAAAAGTGAGAACAAAATGTTTATAACATGTCTCTATGGTTCCTATGTGTCCACAGATAGAATGATTCTTTAACACGAAGGAGCATATATTGTGTTTGAAGACCATGTTAAAGTAGGAAAACTATCACTAGATCGATGTATTATGTATCTTTAGGACCAATTGGTAAAACTTGCTACAGACAGTGAGACTGTAGAACCTATTATCTCTCAGTTGGTGATGGTGCTTCTGAAGGGCTGCCAAGATGCAAATGCACAAGCTCGACTTCTGTGTGGAGAGTGTCTTGGTGAGTTGGGAGCAATTGATCCTGGCCGATTGGACCTCATGACCAGTAACACAGAGGGAAAAAGCTCCACGTTCGTGGTAAGAAATCATTTGAATTAGACTGTCATTTTGTAATAACTGTGAGGAAACATGTTGTAAGATTCTATGTCATATGAAATGAGGATGCATAATGTATGCTGAACCACAACATAGGACTATATCGGGTACCACAGAGATATTTACAATTTAAATGGATTATTTCATTATCGATTATGGTAATTAGAAGATATTGCTGAGCTCTGACTGCAGTTTTACGTCTGCTTCCAGGAGAGCTTAAGATTTATCTCTTGCACCCTTTCCCCTCATATAGGAGCCATTCTGTCTTTCTCCACTCTGTCCTATCTATTTTCTCCCTTTCCCCACTGTCTTGTATACTGTTTAATATATTTCCTGGACTGCCGTGCTGCTGAAATAAGTTTTCCAAACTTAGTCTAGAGGAGCTCTAGCCATTTGTCTTTATTTGGTCCATGCCCTCTCCCCTTACCTATCTGTTTTTATTTCTCTCAACTTTTATTTGTTGTTGTGACACATATCTGCAAGTTTTCCGTAGTAATTGTTCAGCTGTTGGCTAAGTTGGTGAGACGAAGAGTAGAGTCCCATCATCTCAAAGAACAGAAAGACTTGGACAAAATTCATGACAACTAGCAGTAATATTGCAATATATCGATTTGGGGAAGCATGGGTGCAACTGTTGGCAATGTCCGTCCTCATTTCCAAAAATGCAATTTCTTATCCAAAAGAAATAATCAACGTTGTTCATCTATCCAAGGCAAATATTTAAATAATATGAGGTTTGGGACTTGTCAATTTTTGGTCAAGTTCTTGCTTTTTGAAGATCTGACTCGTCCAAGTAGCTGAAAAGTGAAGACATTTAACAGATCAGTGCATTAAAAACTTTCACCGAATACTGGTGTGGATCTGTTGGTGGTCAGAAAATAATTCAGACAATAATCTGGACCTAATTTCTATTTACATTCCATCGTTTCATTTAGGTTTAGTAACCATAGAGTACAAAAGGAAAGATGTTAGGCCAAACCTTTCTAGAAGGAAAGCCCACTAAAGCTTGCAAATGATTCATACTAGCCTGACGCATCTTGCATGCCTTTAAATGGAGCTCGAGTATGTATAGTATCTTCATATCCGAGTCTCAGTGGGTTTTTACTGTTTTTGCCTTCACTAGTTAGGCCTCAGCTGCAGTATTGTGCTCAATTGTGGGCATTATGCTCAAGTCAGATGTCCATGACAAGAGAGGATGCAGAATGTTTTACTAGAATGTTATCAAGAACTTCAGTTTGTGTAAAGAATGGAGAAACAATTGTAATTTTCTCAGGCAAAGAAGATTAGGAAAAGATTTGACATAGGTGTTCAGTTTATTAATGGTTGGATGGAGTATTTAGGGGAAACTGTTTCCAGTGGCAGAACGTGCAGCAAACAGAGCATATACTTTTAAAATGATAGATGAAGGAATGTAACACTATGAGGAATTGTTCATTTTGTGGAGGGTTGTTGTGATCTGGAATGAAATGCTTGAAAAGCTGTTGAAAGCAGATTCAACAGTAACTTTAAAGAAGCTTGGCTAGATACTTGAAGGGAAAACATGACCAAGCTTTGAGACAAGAGCAGAAGCCTGAGACTAACATAGAGAATACTTCAGAACTTCTCGAAAGTGAATTTTGGTTCTCTCTCCCCAGATGCTGCCAAACCTGCTGAGTTTCTCCAGTATTCTCTGTGTCTGTTTCAGATTTCTAGTGTCTGCAGTATTTTGCTTTCATTTTAGGGGTTTGAAGCTAATTCGTTAGCTCTTTCATAGAGCCCACACAGATTTGATGAACAGTCTGTTCTCTGTCAGTGCTGTAACATCCCATGGTTCTATTTAGATCGAATCAGTAATACTTGCATTGTCTGGTAATTTGTTCCACAACAATATCAGCTGAAGCTGAAGTACCAATTGGCATTTTAGTTGAGGAATGCCTCAAGTAGTGTGCATGACAGACATGAGAAGACAGCAAGAAAATAATAAAAAAAATGTTAAGGAGTAGTTTCAAGTGTAGTGCACTTCAAAAGGATGCTGTTCAAACTTAAGGTATTTTTAATCTCAATTCTCTGAAAATTGATGCATTATGTCTACTGGGGCGAATTAAAATTATTTGAAAAATAAGGCTTTGAATCGAACGTCTTTAGTTGCTTTGAGTTTTTATATTTAAAAAAAAGTGACTCGTTTATGATTTTGTCAAAATGAATTGAATTGCATAATAATGTACTTAGTGGAGTGATCAAACGTTAAAGCATAATTTGCAGTTAAAACATTTGTTTATTTGTCATAACTCTTACAACAGGCTGGTGTGGAGGATCCTAATTTTGCCCATCACCTGCTGATTGAGTTGACAAGAGCCTTCCTTGCCTACGCAGATAATGTTCGAGCTCAGGACTCAGCTGCTTATGCCATTCAGGTACGGTAACAGCTGTTTCTCTGTACAGATTTGATAGAGACCTTTATGTAATAACAAGCTAGATTTTTTTAGAGAGTGCGTATTAGCTAACTACTTTCTCAAATTATTTAGCAGAAGGAGCCAAGTAAAGTTTATACGAACTATGGAGCAAATAAGAAATAAAAATTATTAAAAGCAATAAACCATATGTTCATGATTAGGGGTAAAACGTAATTGGCGTGTCATTCATTTAACTACGAGTTGTGTTTATTAGATCAGGTAGTTTGTAAATCTCTCTGTAGCACCAGTGAAGAGAATGCTTCAGCCTTGGCCTTATCTCCTTGGGTAAAAACAACTGTCTTATCCAGCCAAAAAAAGACAAGACATGAACATAAAATAGCAAATGGTTTGTAAAGTGCAAATGAGTGATGTGTCCATTTTGTGTTAAGTTACAAGAAACTATTTATAATCATTTTTTTTGGTCATCCCCTCTTCAACCCTAAGCATTGACTTCCTAGTAGAGTTGCATATGAGGCATGGAGTGTTAGTGATGGCATTTAACTGCTGAGAGGGTATATCTCAGTCAAGTTCTTTCGTGATGTGGAGGTGCCGGTGTTGGACTGTGGTGGACAAAGTCACAAATCACACAATACCAGGTTATAGTCCAACAGGATCGTGTGACTTCTGATCAAGTCGTCTCCTGGCATCCCCATAGATAGAGTAGACATATGGAGACCAAGGCTTTGAGCTATGAGAGAGTAGCTGGCAGAGATGTGATGAATTAAGTTGCTTATTTCATTGCAAATATTTGGGACTCATTGGGTTACGCAGTCTAAGACAATTAAACCAAGCACAGATCATGAAGCAAAGCCAGGTTGGTCAGCTACAAGTGATTTTCATCAACTGTGCACTCAAGGGCTTAAACAATTTTTTTTTAACAATCTGGATTTCCTTATTAAGTTGACATCAAGTTGATGATTTGGAGCACAGGTTATTGTAAATGTCAAGGTGTTGAGCCATGGCTCTAGATATAATTCACTGGCCTTTCTGAAATTTGTGATTGATATTACTGCAGCTGAATGCTTGAATATGACCAATGTTAGAATTATAGCTTATAGCATTGCATATAGTCGGGATGAATCCCATTGAGGTATTTTCGTTGGGGGTACTTGGCCTAAGGCTTGCTTTTCTTTTAATCGACCAGCTGAGAACTGTAATCGTCATCATCTTTACTGGCACCACAAGTAGCTTTAAATACTATGTCACTGAATCTGGTGGGACTATTAGTATTTTACTGGGTAAGGGGTTATTTTAACATTTCATAGGTTTTGTTAGTGTAGTTTATGTGTTTTATTAAAGATCAATAAAATTGAACTTTCAGGAGCTGCTACAAATATATAAATGTAAAGAAGGGAAAACTGATTGCCCAGGACGCAGGCTGTGGAGGAGCTTTCCAGAACATGTTCAAGAAATCTTGGAGCCTCATTTAAACACCAGGTGCACAGTACTCTCATAATACTTTTACAACTTGTATGAACTGAAGGTGTGTTCTGGCCACAGTTGCAGCTTTTAGCATGGTTGTTTCGACAATGGAAATTGGGAAAGAGCCTCACTTACACCTCTCAATGTAAAGTTATGAATAGCCACCAGGCGAAGCTTGAATGTGGCTCAGGTATTCTTAAGTCATGCTGAATTTTCCTTGTCTTTGTGAGAAATCCTTCTTTTTGCTGTTTGCCCACAGCCAAGTTCCATTTCATTTAAAAAGTTGATAGTTAGATATTTGTGATGAAATAAATTTTGCCACTAACTTCCTGTTAGAAAAATGTCATGGTAAGATTGACATTGAAAAGTTAACGTATAATTTTGTGGATATTGAAATACACAAATTTTAAACAAGTCAGTTGTTTTGCTTATAAAGGTATAAAAGCTCCCAGAAGACTTGCAATTGGGTCAACATTAAGAAGCCATTTTATCTTGGTAAACATGACAGAAATTTTGCAGAGTGGTCAGCAACATGGGCAGGATACCTGACAACCAAGGTGAGCATGTCGATGAGATTAACTCCTCTTCAGAGTATTGACCTTGCCAGTTATTTAGATCTATGTATACGTCCAGTTTGTAACACTAAGTCATTCATTTGTAATATTTTCTGTAACTGAGGATGCTAAAGCTTTCATTGTTGCTAAAGTAGAACAGTTACAACATATTGTAAATACTGCAGCCATTGCTTCATGCTTGTATATCTGTTCTTGCCTTGCATAAAAATACTACCAAAATGTACTTGATTCATACCAATAATAATATAAAATTTTCAAGCAGCCTGAGCAATAACATTCCCAAACTGTGGAATCATTATGGGATTACGATCCATGGTAGGATGGAAAGAGGGCAGAATGAGGCTTTCCAACTGATACTATAATCCACATGTCTGTGATGCGACCTCCCCATTTCCAACCTCCCCACCTCTGCATCTTATAAACTTGACTTTATAGAAAAAGCCCACAAAAATGACCTGAACTCACTTTTAGTAATCCTTTTTCTTTAAAAATGTAAATTCTCCAAGCAGATTTGACATATGCTTAAGTAAATATTCTAATGTGTTCTTTCAGGTTCGAAGTGAGCTAGCCAGAAAAGTTTTTGACTGTTGCAGCTTTATTATGAAACATGATTTTAAAGTGACAATCTATCTGCTACCTCATATCCTAGTCTACGTTTTGCTTGGGTGTAATGAAGAGGATCAACGTGAAGTAAGGAACCAGTCAATATATTGAAATTCTTATAGTTAGTATTCATCTGACAGATTATACTTTAAGATGATCCCAGCCTGATTAATTTTCTTCAAGAACCATACCTGTAAAACATAATATGTTATTCAGCTGGATGTATATTGAGAGGAGAAAGATGATATACTTGTTAAACATATTTAGATTTTAAAGATTGGTCACGCTTTGGGAACTAACCTGAAGTTTACTGAATGACGCAATCCCGTCCTTGTTTTAGCGTATAGAAGTATAACGAAGTTTACCTGGATCAGCCACCATCTAGTTGTGGACATTTGATTGACAAAAAAAAATTAAGCAATTACATCAGTCCATGCAACAAAACATTCAAATCTCAAATTTGAGGAATTGGGTAGGAAAAGATTGGCTGGGATGTATTTCCAGAAACAGTATTTGAAAAATTCTGTTTTTTTAAAGAAGCCAACTAGATGAAAATAAAACTGGAGTTAATAAAATTGAAGTGTTTAATGTATTTTAAATTAAAGTTGTTTGAATTGTTTCATTTAGTTTTATTACTGAATAATTATTTAACATGATGTGCAAGATTTTAAAAAGTATGTGTAAGAGCAATTTCAGTTTTTTTTATTTCTGTTTGCAGTCTGAGTTGAATGTTCAGCATGAGAAAGCTGGAGGTCAGTATTAGATTAGGAGATAACAAGGTGTGGAGCTGGATGAACACAGCAGGCCAAGCAGCAACAGAGGAGCAGGAAAGCTGATGTTTCGGGTCTAGACCCTTCTTCAGAGATGGGGGAGGGGAAGGGGATTCGGAAATAAATAGAGAGAGAGGGGGAGGCGGGTGGAAGGTGAATAAAGGAGCAGATTGGTGGGGAGGAGACAGACAGGTCAAAGAGGCGGGGATGGAGCCAGTAAGGGTGAGTGTAGGTGGGGAGTTAGGGAGGGGATAGGTCAGTCTAGGGAGGACGGACAGGTCAGGGAGGCAGGATGAGGCTGGTAGGTAGGAGGTGTGGGTGGGGCTTGAGGTGTGGGGAGTGGATAGGTGGGAGATTTTGAAGCTTCAAAATCTCCCCTCCCCCGACTGCATCCCAAAACCAGCCCAGCTTGCCCCCCCCTCCCTCTCCCCTTCCTCCCTGGACTGACCTATCCCCTCCCTAACTCCCCACCTACACTTACCTTTACTGGCTCCACCCCCGCCTCTTTGACCTCTCTGTCTCCTCTCCACCTATCTCCTCCTTTATCCATCTTCCACCCGCCTCCCCTCTCTCCCTATTTATTTCAGAATCCCCTTCCACTCCCCCATTTCTGAAGAAGGGTCTAGGCCTGAAACGTCAGCCTTCCTGCTCCTCTGATGCTGCTTGGCCTGCTGTGTTCATCCAGCTCTACACCTTGTTATCTCAGATTCTCCAGCATCGGCAGTTCCTACAATCTCAGTATTGGCTTAGGCTTCAGTTTGATCAAGCCCTCTGAAGGATTAGTGGTGTTTAACTGAAAGTGGGCAGTAAACAGTTGTTATGAATGTAAATTTTTTTTTCTGCAGGTTTATTCAGAAATGATGGCTGTCCTAAAGAATGATGAGACTTTGGACAGGACTTTGCAGGACAGTGCATCAGATTTGAGTCAGTTGAGTACACAGACTGTTTTCTCGATGTTGGATCATCTTGCCCAGTGGTCCAGGCATAAATTACAGGCTCTTAGTTCTGAGAAAAGTGGGAGCAGATCCAGTAAAGACAGAGGGGGTCCTAATGGTGAGTCTGTAAAGGTAACACACTTAATGATTGCGTAGAAGCTACAGCTATCTGAATGAGGCCTGTCTGTAGGCATTTCACAATGGAAACTACACTTCATAATTTAAAAAGGTTACATATAGTTGTGTAAACCACTGGTAACAACTGAAAATTATTATTATATTTCCTATTTTCTTGTGTATGAACTTTCTGGCTGTTGATGTACACCTACCAATGAGTGGCAAAAATGAGTGAGGAAGTAAAACGACTTCTACAAAGTCCAGAATGTGCATTTTGAAAATGTAAAAGTGCATGATTTAATGCAGTAAATGTCAAATGTTTGGGTGACTAGCCTCACTTTACCTGAATCGAAATTACTTAGGGAATAGGTACAGGCATATAATCTCACCTAGAGATTCATAATAGAACAATAATTTGTGTTAGTAGCTGTTCTCTGACTAACATAGACTAATTAGTTTTATTATCCTGTTGTAAATCTTGGTATAATCTGAAGTTCTTGACTGTAATGTTTTGCTAGTGAGAAGCATGACTGACTGACAAATTGCATACAGGAAGTAACATTATATTGTGCAAATCTGTTCTGCTCATCAGTTCACGGTTGAATATAATCGGCACCATATAATTCCTCATGAGAAATTAGTTTTTTGTTTCATTTTATCAAGCTGTTAATTACATTGATGCTCCTTTTCAAATTCTAATCTCAAAATTCAGCCATAATGTTAGTATGAGATATCAGGTTTTGACAGAAGTAAGAACTGTTTTGTTCCAAAACTCTCAAAATAAGATAAAGGTTTTATTATAAAAATTCAAAAACCTTGTCACTGAAATGAAACTCTTTTCTGGCTACTATTCTGATCCCAGTTGGCTTTACCATAAGATGTAGCAGCAGATGTAGGCCATTGAGCTCATCAATTCTGCTCTGCGATTCAGTGAGAACATGGTTTCTGATCTGATAATCTTCAGTTATCTTTCCAGTCTTTCTTCCATTTTTCCCTTGATAGACTTTTTTTAATTTTGGAGAATGATCTTTCAATGAAACATAAACACACAATTCTCCACATTTTGTTTCAACAATAAAACTGAAGTCTATTACACAAAAGAAATGAAGATAAAATTGAACAAACCAAGCTATTTACATAAAACACAGTTTGAAAGATTGCAAAGTACATGGCAAAACAAAATCCTATCTACTCCATCACCATTATGTTACAATTGTCAGGTACTGGAGAGAGAGTTCCCTTCTCCAGCACATCAATAGGTTTGACATCAATGTTTCTTTCACTTGAGAGCTTGATAGCCTTTACCCCGATTGTCCACACAGCTGAGTTTAAATCTTCTCAGTTTCAAATGATCTAGTCAGGTTTCTAACTACGCACTTCTAGTGTGGAATTTTCAAACCAAATCCTTACACTGAGGGTAACCTATTTCCTACCTCTTCTAAACTAACTCCTTTCTCCAGGAGAAACTGTTCTGAGACCTGACCAAGCCAGGTCTTCTGCAAACTTAATCCAAAGCAAAAAAAAAAATCCTGATTCTTCTAAACCAAAAGCAAGTTATGCCTTTCAACGTTTACTCCCTCTGGTACTAAAACCCTCACAATACAAAAAAATACCTATTATCACTCCAGGAGGACCCCAGCTTGTGCTTTCTGACACATGTTGGTTTAAAATGATGACTCCAGAAATACTGACAAGTTAATTATTAAATCCTCTCATTTGCATGGATCAAAACCCACATGCCATTAGTTCAAAATCAAAATGCTAAAGTAAATTTTATATATAATATAATATATAAATAAATCCTTTATATGTCTCTTGCTACAGCAGAATCACAGATGTGGGTGGAAACAAAATTTCTATGTTATATCATGCTTCGGTGATGGGAAATTAGTGATGCAGTGAGAACTCCGTTGTGCACCAGAATAACTATTATTTCACAAAGAAGAGCAAGCGTAGTTTGTGGACTTGGTTAATTGCATAATGGATTGATATATGTGAATAAAAACATACTTGTCTGATTCTGTTAAGTTGCTTGAAATTGCTTATGCTAATTATTTAGAAATGTCATTAAGGAAGTTTTTTCTTACGTAGAAAATACCATTCCAACAAACCCATTGTTTACCATGAAACTGTTTGTTTTGTTGCAGTTTCAAGCTCAGAGTACAAAGAGTACCAAAATGTCACCTCTTTTCTGGACCTCATACCCCAGGATGCTCTTGCTGTTGCTTCATTTCGATCCAAGGCTTATACTCGAGCAGTGATGCACTTTGAATCCTTCATCACAGAAAAGAAAGAGAACATTCAGCAGCATCTTGGATTTTTACAGGTCAAAGAAATAGATAAGTAATAGAAATTTCCAATATGATCAATTCTTTAGAAATCTAGAAACAAGTCTTCAGTTTCATGAAAAATTTGAGGTTCAAAAAAACCTCTTCTACACTCATAATTAACCTGAAAATACAATACAAATGTATAATTCGCAGTCTCTGATGAATCATTCTTTATGATTTTTGTACTTTTTAAGGAACTTAATTCCCTTATAACTCATATCCCACTATAGTGCATTGTTCCTTTAATAACACTTGAATGGTTTCTGTTTAATACACAACCAAATGACATGCATTTATTGTATGATTCTCAAAGGCAACCTTAATGAGCAGGTCTCCACACTGACTCTCAGCTGTCTCCCTTCCATTATGTTCTCTTGGGGTTAACCCTGACTTTGGTATTGAGCCTGCCTGTAAGGGTGGTGATGTTGTTGTCTGTCATGCTGACCTTTACATAGCAGAGGCTGGACGCCAAATCTCGGATACTGGCACCTATCTCCCCCTGAACCATGACACCACCGTTGAATATCAAGCTGTTGTTTCCAGTACTGTCACTGATGTCATCTCCTGTGGAGATTTCCCCTCATCACAGCTTCCCACCTCCGTGTTCCCCAACCCTGCATAGCCCATTTGTACTTTCTTCCCAAAATCCATAACTAAGACTAGCTGATGAACCCATTGTTTCAGCATATTCCTGCCTGACTGAACTTATTTATTCCTATCTTGTCTCTAATTTATCTGCCCTTGCGCAATCTCTCCCCAATTATACTTGTGATTATAGAGTCATTGAGATCTACAGCACAGAGAAAGGCTCTTTGGCCCACCTTGTACATGCCGGTCAAAAACAACTACTTATTATTGTAATCCCAAATTTTTCTGATGCTTTTTTCGTGCCATAATTTATAGTTTTTTGGTCCTAGCTGCCTCCTTTTCACCATGAATGTGCAATCCCTTTACACATCAACTCCCCCATGTGGATGGTCTGAAGGATTTCTGCTTCATCCTTGAAAAGAGACAGGCACAGTGTCCATGAGCCAGCAGCTTCCTTTGCCTGGATGAACTCATTCTCACTTTGAATAAAATAAAACAAAGAACTGCAGATGCTGGAAATCTGAAAAAGCATAAAGAGCTGGATAAACACTGCTGGTCTGGCTGCATCCATAGAGAGAGAAATAGAGTTAACATTTCAAATCCAGTGACCCTTTATCAGAACCTGAACTATGATCTCAACATGTTAATTCTTTTTCAGATTTTCAGCACACACAGTACTTTGTTTTTACTTAATGAGTGAATGCAGTGTTTAGAGAAATTTAATAATGTATTTCACAAGAACAGAACAACACCTGTGCAATGAAGTTTATTTAAAAAAAGTGTAGAAGTGTTTTTGTGAAACAGTAAGGACAGTTTTCTTTTCCAATACAGAAGCTATATGCAGCAATGCATGAGCCAGATGGTGTAGCTGGAGTAAGTGCAATCCGTAAAGGAGAGCGATCTCTCAGGGAACAGATTTTAGAACATGAGAGCAGTGGACTGTTGAGAGATGCTACAGCATGTTACGACAGGGCTATTCAGTTGGAACCTGATGAGGTAAATGCCAAAAATGACTAACTCATTAAAAGTTCCTGTACACCAAGAGATAACACCGTGTTGAGCTGGCAGAGCGCAGCGGGCCAGGCAGCATCAGAGGAGCAGGAAAGTTGACGTTTCAGGTCGGGACCCATTTCTGAAGAAGCGTCCCGACCCGAAACGTGAGCTTTCCTGCTCCTCTGATGCTGCCTGGCCTGCTGTTCTCCTCGAGCTCCACACTGTGTTATCCCTGACTCCAGCATCGGCAGTTCTTGCTATCTCCTGTACACCAGGGTCCACTTTTTGATCCAAAATTGTAACCAGAATTTGTTTTTAAATGTTAATTTTAAATGTTGAAAATCAATTTCCGTTTACACATTTTATATTGAAAGTTCATTATACTTAGTCTCTGAATCTGTGGATAAATGATATGGTATTGAGCCCTTCAGACTCAGTGTGTTCAAGGTTTGCTCTCTGTTTGGAATTCAGTTAACTAACATAATCCAAGGTGCCAATAGAGCTCCTAAAATGTGTCCATGCTGGGTAGTCTTAGAACCCAGACACAGGTGCTATTGGTTTGTGCACATGGCTGGATTGCAGGCGAAGATACATTCTGGCTTGGTTCGCAATTTTCCCCAGATATTCAGCGCACTATGAACGTGAGCAGTAACACTTTCAACTACTTTCTTTTCCACCCCGTTGACATCCTCTGTGGGAAAACACCTGGCCCTTATCCAGCATCTCCACATTGGTAGAATGATAGAAATAAAGTTCTACTTAATCTGTGACTTAATTCTGTTTGAATTTTGAAATATTTGTGATCACTACAACCTAAATAATTTTTATGATACATGTATGTGTTTGTTGAAAGGGACAGTTTGAACGTGATTTTTTTTTTCCTTAAATCAGATTATTCATTATCATGGACTGATGAAATCTATGCTTGGACTTGGCCAGTTGTCCACAGTAATCACTCAGGTTAATGGAGTGCTTGCAAGCAGGTATAATCTAATCAACCCTTTAAATCCATTGCTTTTGGAAATGACTAAAATTGCTGAAATCATATTCATATTACTAAATTACAAAATGTAAAATATTGTTAATATTTTCTGACAGGTTCCACTGATCACCCAAGGATATGGATGTGGATATCTTTATCATTATATTTGAAACATAGATAAATTAATATTCTGGTCCCTTACTCATCCGAATTATATACAAACAAGCCAACAGAAATTTTAAAAACGTGGAACAGACATTGTATGGCAGTGCTTCCCAAATTTCCCCCACCCCACCTTTTGCTGTTAGAATGAAGCAGGGGTGGGAGCTTCAGTTTGTGAGCTGATGTTGGAATCATATAACACTCACTTATGTCCTCCATCTCTCTCTCCAGCTGTCTCATACTCATTCATTCTCACACTAATTTATACATTCTAATTCCTCGCACTCATTCATACACGTGCTTTCACACTCGCTCACTCACACCTTCACTCTGTCATGCATGTTTACTCTCACTCACTGTCTCTCACTCTCTCGCACATAATGACTCTTGCTCTTTTTCTTTCACTCACTCTGTCTGTCATGCACACACAAGCCAACCAGATTGCATCATGGGTTAGTCCTCACCCACACTAGGAGGGAGCGCAACTGTAGTAAATTCTCCAAATCAAATGAGGATTCTCTTCACCCCCCATCACCCAGTCCTGATCTCTTTCCCTTCCAAGTCCTGATCTCCCAAATCCACCTCCCCAAACCTCCGCCCTGCTCCCTGCCAACAAGCCCAATCTCACAACTCTGTCCCGATCCTGATCTCCCCCACAGCTCTGGCCACACCCTCTCCCCCTCAATCTGTGCAGATGCAATTTGAAGCCCTGCATAGTGCAGATACCTCTGTGTCAGCAGATGCAGCCACAAATAAATAACTTATTTCTTGTAAAGCCTGAATAATTAACAACAAAAAACTAACCTGTTAGATGTTTCTTAATTGAATCTGAGAACATTTATTTTTTATTGTTGTTCACAGGCCTGAGTGGACCTCTGAATTAAACACATACAGAGTAGAGGCGGCATGGAAACTCACTCATTGGGAGTTGCTGCAGAATTATGTGGCTGCAGGTAATAAATGAGCCTAAATAAATTAGATCAAAACATATTGACCATTTAGAAGATATCTCAAATGGATGTTAGAATTCTAACACAACTCTGGGCAATGCCTCCTTCATGTCTTTGTACCTGCATTCAGTTGTAATACTGTTACATCTGATTCCAGCTTCTCCCTCTCAAACTGCAGGGTGAATTCTATCATATTATGGTTACTGCCCCCTAGGGATCCTTTCACATTAGGCAACCTAATCAAGTCTACCTCATTACACATCACCAAATCCAGAATTGCCAGTTCCATAGTAGACTCTATCACAAACTGCTCCAAAAATAAAACCCATCTCACAGACATTCCATGAGTTCCTTTTCTTGGGATCTGCAACCAATCTGATTTTCCCAGGCCCCCTACATACTGAAGTCCCCCATGATTATTGTAAGAGTGCATTTCTTACATGCCTTTTCTATCTCCTGATTTATTTTCTACTCCACATCCTGACTACTGCTAGGAGGTCTGTACATAGCTGGTATCAGGGTATTTTTTCCTTTGCGGTTGATCAATTCTACCCCCTATCCCTACTGCGTGGATTTAAGTACAACACCTTCAGATCTGCGTTGACTGCTTCTTCTTATAGTTATCCCCTTATCTGCTGTGCCTGAAGTTACATTCATGACCATTTCCAAACTCTCTGTCCTATTACAACAGGTCTGGCAGCATCTGTGAAGGACAAAACAGAGTTAATGTTTCGGGTCTGGTGACCCTTCCTCAGAACTCAGAAAAGCTGAGCTTTTCCAGCAACTTTGTTTTTGTTCTTGATTTACAGCATCCACGGTTCTTTCGGTTTTTCTCTGTGCTATTACTTGTTCTGGAAACTTTAATAACCTCTGCTGAGCCCTCCCCCCACTTTAACTTTTTCCATAATTTTCCATGCAACTGTATCCAAAACCCACCACTATTTATTGTAGAACCCCTACAGTGTGGGAACAGGCCATTTGGCTCAACAAGCCCCCATTGACTCTCTGAAGAGCATCCCACCCAGACTCACTCCCCTATCCTATCCCTGCAGTTTCCATGGCCAATCCACCTAACCCGCACATATTTGGACTGTGGGAGGAAACCGGACTACTTGGCAGAAACCCATGTAGACATGGGGAGAATGTGCAAACTCCACACAGACAGTCACCCGAGGCTGGAATTGAACCCAGGTCCCTGGAACTGTGAGGCAGCAGTGCTAACCACTGAGCCACTGTGCTGTCACTTAGTTTAAAGCTTATACACGGTCCTAATTAAGCAGTTCACCAGGACCCTGGTCCGAGCATGGTTCAGGTGGAGCCCGGCCCATCTGATCAGCTCCCTCCTTCCCCAGTAATGGTGCAAATGTCCCATGAATTTCAACCAGTTTCTCCCACACTTCCCACACCAATCTTTGAGCCACACATTTACCTCTTTAATCTTGTTAACCTTGTATCAATTTGCTTGTACCTCAGGTAGTAATCTAGAGATTAACTTCTTTAATCTTTCTGTTCTCATCATTGGTACATATGTAGACGACAACAACTGTATCATTCCCCTCCCACTCCAAGTTTCTCTGAAGCCCAAATGAGATATCCTTAACCTGGGCATCAAGCAGGCAACAGAGCCTTTTGGTCCTGGCCACAGACAACAGTGTCTCTTTCCCTGATTATACTATCCATGGTTACAGCTACACTTCTCTTTTCTCCCCTTCCCTGTGCCACCATGCTATGGTGTGTTTGCACATCCTACTTACAGCTCCTGCTCTGGTTTGGACCATTCTGGTCTGCAGCATCGCTAAAGTCTATCCTAGGAACCAGAACATAATTTGGATCCTAATTGTGTTATTTGTAATTAAGTTTCTTTTAATATTTGTTTATTTTTGATTTAAATGCTGCATTTGGTAATAATTGTGCAAAGTACAAAAATGTATGATGAGCAACCTGTAACAATATTGGCAGTGTACACCAGCGCCATACCTTTTAAGTGACTCTTGTGAAATATGTCTTTTGACCTTGTGTAAGATCAGCTGTAATAATTTATTTTCTTTTAGAGGGGAAATCCTGTTCTTGGAGTGTGAGACTTGGACAATTGTTGCTTGTTGCTAAGCAGAGCAATGCAGAGGGTTTTTATGAACAATTGCAGGTTACTCGAGCAGAACAGATTGTGCCCCTCTCTGCAGCAAGTTTTGAACGAGGGTCCTATCAGCGAGGTTATGAGTACATTGTCAGGTACTATTAGGATTGACCTCACTTTAGATATTTTTGTTCCAACCATATTAATACAATCCTAATTTTGAGTAATTTTTCTTCACTCAGATTACATATGTTGTGTGAGCTGGAGCACAGTGTCAGAGGATTGCTTCACTGGGAATCTCGGAAACATCAAAAAGAACATGAACATCCTCTCAACTGGCAGGCTCGGCTAGAAATGACTCAAAATTCCTTTCGGGCTAAGGAGCCCATCTTGGCGCTACGCAGAGCATTGCTCCATGTCAATAAAACGTATGTTGACATATCTTATTTATAATTTTATATACTGAAATGTTTAGTCTAGAAATGGTGCATTTACAATGTGGTAGTGGTTTGCTAAGTTAGGAAAGCCTTTCTGAAGTCTGGGTCATTGCATATTACAATAATATAGCATCTGTATCCCCCAGTGTTCTACTTAAATTCTTTCTAAGTAGTGCTTCAAGCTGTGCAAACAGGTAAAATCAGATGTGAAATTAATTCTAAAATTCCAGAATGGCCATACATGCATTCCAGGACTCAACCAAGTCTTTCTACAAACTCTGCTGTGATGCTATTGGAAAATCTCAATTAACTTGTGTTGTATTAACAGAGAATAAATGCAAAATACTGCAGATGCTGGAAATCTGAAACAACACAGAGAATGCTGGAGATACTCGGCAGGTCTGGAAGCATCTGTGGAGAGAGATTCGAGCCCAGTATGTCTCTTCTTCAAAAAGTCTTCAGTTTTGAGGAAGAGTCATACTCAACTCAAAACGTTAACCCTGTTTCTGTCTCTACAGATGCTGCCAAACCTGCAAGTTACTCCAGCATTCTGTGTTTATTGGTATTAACAGAGGCCTGGAAGTGGGTTTATCATGTAGGGAATGGTATCTAGGTAAGGGAAACTGTTTTCTTTTATGTGGAATTGTAAGAATTTGAAGTTATTTTTAAGAGATGGTAAAATTATTGTTTTCTAATTCTGTTTACCAAGTATTGACTTTAATCTGTGTGATTGTAAATAGGACAGACTACAGTGAACTGGTTGGAGAATGTTGGCTGCAAAGTGCCAGAGTTGCCAGGAAAGCAGGTCATCACCAAACTGCATACAATGCTCTCTTAAATGCAGGAGAATCCAAATTACCTGAGCTTTACATAGAAAGAGCAAAGTGGCTTTGGTCCAAGGTATGTTTAATATTGACAGGATGATACCATTTGCAAACATTACTTTAGCGATGTCATAGAATCATAGAGAGGTACAGCTTGGAAACAAACCCTTTGGTCCAACTTGTCCATGCTGACCAGATATCCTAAATTAATCTAGTTCCATTTGCCAGCATTTGGCCCATATCCTTCTAACCCTTCCTATTCATGTACCCATCAGATGCCTTTTAAATGTTGTAATTGTACCAGCCTCCACCACTTCCTCTGGCAGCTCATTCCACACACGCACCACCCTCTACATGAAAAAGTTGCCCCTCGGGTCCCTTGAAAATATTTGCCCTGTTACTTTAAAGCTATGCCCTCCAGTTTTGGACTCCACTGCCCAGGGGAAAAGACCTTGTCTATTCTCCCTGTCCATGCCCCCCATGATTTTATAAACCTCTATAACGTCACCCCTCAGCTTCTGATGCTCTGGGAAAATATCCCCAGCCTATTCAGCCAATCTCTATTGCTTAAACCCTCTGACCCTGGCAACATCCTTGAAATTCTTTTCTGAATCCTTTCGAGCTTCACAACATCTTTCCTACAGCAGGGAGACCAGAATTGAATGAAGTATTCCAAAAGTGGCCCAACCAATGTCCTGTACAACTGCAACATGACATCGAACTCCTATACTCAACACACTGAGCAATAAAGGAAATAGTACAAAATGCCTTCTTCACTACCCTGTCTACGTGGGACTCCACTTTCAAGGAACTACGAACCTGCACTTCAAGGCTCTTTGTTCAGCAACACTCCCCAGCACCTTACTATTAAGTGTGTAAGTCCTGCTGTGATTTGCCTTTCCAAAATACAGCAGTTATCTAAATTAAACTCCGTCTGCCACTCCTCGGCCCATCAGCCCATCTGATCAAGATCCCTTTGTACCCTGAGATAACCTTCAAAGCTGTCCACTACACCACCAATTTTTGTGTCATCTGCAAACTTACTAACCATACCTCGTATGTTCACGTCCAAATCACTAATATAAATGACAAAAAGCAATGGACACAGCACCGATTCTTGCAGCACACTGCTGTCACAGGCCTCCAGTCTAAAAAGCAACCCTCCACCACCAGCCTCTGTGTCCTACTTTCAAGCCAGTTCTGTATCCAAATGGCTAGATCTCCTTGTATTCCATGTGATTTAGCCTTATGAACCAGTCCACCATGCGGAACCTTGTCAAACACCTTACTGAATTCCATATAGACCACATCCATTGCTCTGCCTTCATCAGACCTCTTTGCCTGTTCTTTAAAAAACTAAATCAAGTTAGTGAGACACGACTGCTCATGCACAAAGCCATGTGCACCCTAATCAGTCCTTGCCTTTCCAAATATGTGTAAATCCTGTCCCTCAGAATCCCCTACAACAGCTTGCCCACCAATGATGTCAGGCTCACTGGTCCATAGTTCACTGGCTTTTCCTTATGTCGTGGCACCATATTAGCCAACTTCCGGTTTTGTGGCACCTCACCTGTGGCAATCGATGATACAAGTATCTCAACAAGGGCCCAGCAATCACTTCTCCAGCTTCCCATAGAGTTCTAAGGAAAGGAAAGTTGAATTTACTGCAAGTTAGACTCTCAGATGTTCGCAACAATCAGTAATGACTAGTAATCTAAGGTTATTCCAGAAAGAAGATGCTGATGATGAGTCGATAGGTAGGCCTTCTTTGTGGATTATATAAACTAAATTGTGATCAGATACAGTGCTTTCTTAATCCAATTGAAAATTTAACTGTACATCTAAAATAAGCTGCTTTTGCACCCATCTCAATCCAGCATTGTTGAAATCCTCATTGGAAGCCTAGGTTTGATAGTTCTACTGCAATCCTGTTTCCCCATTTTCTGTAATTTTTCTGCTCATTCTTAGCTACAGCTAAGGCAAGTAATTTATTAGATTATTGATTGATGTATTTATGTCAATTGCCTTCTTGAGATTTTCATTTTTGTAATTAGTCATATACATATGTAGTTTTCATAATTTCAAATAATGAAGAGTAAAGTTAGAGGAGAGGTGGATGTTCACATTTGTTTAACTCAATGTTAACACTTCCTATTTTCAAAATGAGTCTGAAACTGATCTACTCTAAAATATGTAAGGGCCATACTTTTTTTTTATTTTTATGTTTTTAAAAACTGTAGACTAAAATGAGAGAGAGCTGTTTTAAACCCAGTGTTCAGTAGAGTGGCTGCAGCTTTGAAAATCCCATGTCGGCATAAATAACTGTTTAATCAAGCAGTCATTGAAGTTTGAGTTGTAGACAAGTTGGTAGCGAGGTGGGTGTACAGATGCAGTTTTGCTGCCAAAGAATTTGATTGGTCTATGGACTAGTGACCAGTTATCAATAACCAAGACTTTTCTGCCTGTCAGAAACTATTTGGTTGGAACAACTTGGAGCTGGAATAAATTACAGAGAGGGAGAGAGAAGCGTTCATCCCCAGCTCATAAGTGGATGCTCTGTTCTCTGCAGTCAAAACTCTCTGTAAACCTCAGGATAAGCAGTTTATCTTGCCTACAACAGTTCAGTAATCTGTTACTTTTAAAAAATAAGTCAGGTACTTTTTTATGAGTGAAGTAGCCACCCCTTACCAACCAGTGGAAGCATTCAAAGAAAGATGACTGAATATGCAGCCAACCAGAAGGGTCATAAGGATGGTCTCAATAATGGAACCTTGGAAACAAAGACTACTGAACTGTTTTTCCCATTTTCCCCCTCAATCCATTACTTATTCACCCTGTCAGTTTGTCTGTCTGTGTGTGAGCGGGAGTTTATAAGATGATTAGAGTTTTAATTAGGACTGTTATATGCTGTTTATAACTGCCTGTAACTAGAGTCTAATTACTTGTATTAAATAGTGATTCTTGTTCAATCAAAAATCTGGTCTGTGCTTTCTACCAGTCTGAGTCTGAAAATCAGGTAATTTAACAAACCTTGCTTACTTTATAAACTGTTTTATCTTTGTGACAATTCTGGGAATGGCAGGGCTCGATTTGCAGTGTACTGAACCAGTGAGTCATCACAAGTGTTACTCTGCAGATGTGTGTCCAGATCACCTGATCACTGTAATTTTACATATGTTCTCTTATGAGTACAAAAATGGAATGACTACTGTGGTTGGCAGTTGTTAAACTATTTCTTTATTGATCGTTGTTCCATTTCATAAAGATTGAATATATGACAACTTTTGTATACCTTACTTTTCTTACAATTATTTCAAGATCGACAGTTTGCAGATTTTTGTTTTAAAGGACACTTAATTATTTTCTTGGCTCATCCTTCAATTTGACAAATCAATTTCCATGCTTGCAGGAAGCAACCACTTTGTTACCAGATTGGAAGGATGGACGTTTTTACTTGGCAAAGTATTATGACAAATTGATGCCCATGGTGACTGATAACAAGATAACAGCGAGGATTAATTCAGATTTCACTTTTCCATTTTAAAAAATCCAGCGGTTCTTATTTGAACACCATTCTTCTTAGAAAATCTCAAACTAGAACAAATTCCAAGTTTTCCACAACAGTGATTCTCAGTTCACTTAAGAGTGACATCGTTGGTTTCTGCTACTCAGGATCAGTTTTGTGCTGAACATTCATGTTTGCTAAGTATTTATTTTGGAATATTGCTACAGAGAATAGGTTTATCCTTTAAGTCAGGACGAGAATGAAGTGTAGAATCTGTGGGTGAAAGGACAGCATGTCAATCTCTCAATTTCAAAAATCAGTTTAAATCTTTTGTGGATAAACTAATTCCTCTTGATTATAATTAACTATTTAATCCTGTGCAACAAAATTGCTTTGAATTTTTTTCTAGGGGGATGTTCACCAAGCTTTGATAGTCCTGCAGAAAGGTGTAGAGTTGTGTTTTGGAGATACCGAAACAGAAATGAGTGATGATAAAAGCTGTTTAATAAAGGGGAAAGCTGTGCTGTTGGTTGGACGTTTTATGGAAGAAACAGCTAACTTTGAAAGCAATGCAGTTATGAAAAAATATAAGGTAACTGAAGTACAGTTTATGTTTATATCACAATGATTCTGAAACAAACATTAATACCAATATAGTGAAAGACCTCCAGTCTTCCAAAATTATTTGCAGCTCTTGTAAAATTAGAAATAAATATGTGACTGGAGATTTTATTTGCTTCTCCTCAAACAACAAACTTCCAATCTCTGCTGAACTATTGGGATTTATTTTTCTCATGAGTAAGATAAATTGTAAAGGAGAATCCCTTAGCTCACTGAGGAGCTTGGCCAAAGAATTCATCTTCCTCAAGAACTACATTGGTGAATACCTGTAATGGAAAGTTAAACAATGGTGTGAAATAGAAAATATGATTTTAAAATTGGAGGCATGGACTTGTAACATTTAAAATTTCATAGTATATTTAATAGTATATTTCATAGTATATTTTATAGTATAGTATTTTAACAATTAAAATTGTCAACAAATTGAAACAATCAGGACTGTCATGCATTAGTTTAGTTCTGAAAAATTTCTTTGGCTCTGATGAAGATCATTGTTCCATTTCATAAAGATTGAATATATGACAATGTTTATGTGCCTTATTTTTCTTACAGCTATTTCAAGATTGATAGTTTGCAGATTTTTTTAAAAGAACACTTAAGTATTTTCTTGGCCCATCCTTTAGTTTAACAAATCAATTTCCATGTTTGCAGGAAGTAACCACTTTGTTACCAGATTGGGAAGATGGACATTTTTACTTGGCAAAGTATTATGACAAATTGATGCCCATGGTGACTGACAACAAGATAGAGAAGCAGGGAGATTTGATTCGCTACATTGTCCTTCATTTTGGCACGTAGGTGTCTGAATTCAGTGAAGATTCTGCTTGGCTGGACAGTGTGTGGTGCACACTGTTGGTTCAATCCTCATATAGTCTGTGGTAGATCATGGAGGCCCATCCTTTTACCTGGTCCCAGGCTTGATGTGCGGTGGTGGCCCCAAGCTATACAACCATTTCTCTCTCTCCAACAGAAATATAGATCCCTCGGGCTCTCAATGTACTATGGCTAATTAATTGCAGTATATTCTTCATGAACAAATTGAGAATGTGAATTAAAGTATTTGATTTTGTGTTTTCAGTATGAACAGAGTAATGTTTGGAATGGTATTTTTTTTACATTTGTGTACCCTAAAGACTAGTCAGTTCCACTTCTGGGACTGGGTGTTACAACCAAACATTTTTCATTAATTCATGAGATGTAGGCATTGCTAGAGAGTATGTCTCTTGGATCTAGAAGACCAGAAGCTAGGTTTCTAGAAAAGCTGGCTTACCAGAGTTGAATTTGAAATCAAGGAGTCGGAAGGCATGTAGTCATGTTATAATATTTAAGTAACCAACCCACTTCTTAGAGAGCAGTCATGCTCCCACTCCCAACCAACCCCCCAGTAAAACCAGAGGTTTATGGGTTGGGGACAGAATTAATATTTTTAATGGCTTAATTCTCAAACATCCAAATTCACCCACTTCAATGGGATGCTGAGAATCCATGTTGCCCCATTCTCTCCTCTCTCTCTCACCCTGTCTCTCTCTTCCGCCTGCCATACCCCCAACCACCACCACATATCGGATATTTGAGGAAACATATAGTTTATGGTGATAATCACAGTGATTCTGAAACAAGTGTAAATACTAAAATGGTGAAAGTCCTCGAACAGCAGGAGGGCTGCATTATTCTAATTTAAATATTTCAAGAAAGGTTGACTTGAAAAGTTGGTGCGCATATCTTCTGATTGGAAGAAGATTTGTTTATAAGCCAGTTTGACCTAAATTCTAAATTGGAAGATTTCATTTCCTTAACAGAATACACAAGGTCTTTTAAAAACAAATTGCTCCTTTTTTAGAGCTCAGCAGTGAATCCCCATGTTTCTAAAGTCTGAGGGACAAACTACATTGTTTTTGTCTTTTATTACTTCCAAGAATGCCCACTCTTGCTTTGCAATTTCAGTTAACTCTCAGAGTTTGTCATAGTAAACTAAAATTAATGACTTTTTATTATTTTAATTTAATAACTTATTGTAAGAATTTTATGAAATAAATATTCTCTGTGGAACAATGAAAAAAAGCTGTCTTTTACAATGTGTAATATTTCTTTTTTACATTTTTCTCCTCCGGCACTAATTTTACATTTGTTTTTGTGTATTTTGTAAAACTCCAAGTTGCCAATCCTGAAACAAGCCAGTTTTTGAAAAAGAAAAAGATGTACATTTCGCGTCATTCATGTCATTGAGATGTGCAAAATACTTCACAGTGAATGATTTGCTTTTGAGTTGTAGTTATTTTTATTTTCTAAGCAAGCAATTTGTGCACAACGAGGTCCTGTAAACAAGCACGCGATACTGAGCAGTTGATCTGGTTTGAGCTTGAGATTGAACTGTGAATATTGACAATGACACCAGATAAAAGCTCTCTCCTGCTCTTTGAAAAAAGTGCTATGGCATCATTATGCTCATCTGAGAGGACAAGCAAGAACCTTGGTTTATGCTTAACTCCTGGAGTGTGCGATCTGCATTTACAAACTGCTGAGTCAATGAAAGTGTAATCAATTGAGTCATGCAAACACTTAAAAATATTTACTGAACATTGTGAACTCCTAAGTATGTGTTCAAAAAGCATTCTGTACTACAGAATGAATGTACAGATGATCAAGGTCACAAATCGTTTTTTTTTTGTTTTTGTTTAATTTTGTTCATTAACTGACCCCTAGACATATACTTATGTTATGCTGGTAATGTACACAAATTGAAATACACAGTGAATTAATATATGAAATTATTTAGTTAATGCTGTATATATGTAATGCATAATGTATTTTTTAATATTAAATGACAGTTCACTGCGGTTTGGAAATCAGTTCATCTACCAGTCAATGCCTAGAATGTTATCACTGTGGCTCGATTATGGAGCAAAAGCCTACGAGTTGGAGAAAGGTAATAATACTTGAATTTATATAAATGTTGATGTCTGCCTTCTCACAGCAAATACTTTCATAATTTTTTGAATAGTTTGATCAAAGATCTTTTTCTATGCAGCACCTGGACGTACGGCTGATCGTATTGCCATGAGAACAGATCTTGAAAAGATTAACAAGGTGATAGAGGATCACACGAACCACCTGGCTCCCTACCAGTTTCTGACCGCATTTTCACAGCTGATTTCACGAATATGCCATTTTCATGATGATGTGTTTGCTCGTCTGAAGGGCATCATCGTCAAGGTTTTCCTGGCTTATCCTCAGCAGGCTATGTGGATGATGACAGCTGTTTGCAAGGTAATTGGATGATAGTATTTCATGTATAACTTTTAAATGAATAGTGTTATTTATAATCAGAGAAAGGTAAGGATGTAGGATACAGTATCACATTGAGTCGTTCAGTTAAGTAGCATAGATGTATTCCTTTCCTGTCACTAGGTAAAATAGCTGGAACCTCCTTCCTAACAGCACTGTGAGTATACCTTCAAGGAGGCAACTCACACCACCTTCTCCAGGATGATTAGGAACAGGAAATAAATGCTGACCTGGCCAGCAAAGCTCATGTCCCAACAAAAATAAAGGATAAGTTGATAGCATGAGAAAATGCAAGAAGACTCGCGCCTGGAGTATTATTGCTAGTCGATCTGGTGGACTGAATAACAGCTAGGAAGATGTATTTCTGTTTAAAATTCAATGAACTGCTTTAATATTGTTCAATGACTAAAAATTAGTAAAGACAAGTTGGTAAAAAGCTAGTTATACTTAAAAATGCTAAGTCACCAGGATCAGTCGGGATACAACTCAGAATACTGAGGGAAGTAAGGTAGCAAATTTCAGAGGAACTGGCCATAATCTTCCAATCTTCACTCATTACAGAGTGCGTCAGAGGAGAATTGCAATTATTACGCCTTAGGTCAAAATGGGATGTAAGGATGAGTTCAAAAACTTCAATCTAGTCCGTTTAACATCGATTTTGGGAAAGCTTTCTAAAAGAAAATCTCTGACAAAATTAACAGTTGCTTGGACAAGTTTGGTTTAAATGAAGAAAACCAGCACAGATTGTTAAAGACAAATCATATTCATAAATATAAATAAAAAGAAAACAGGAGCAGAAGTTGACCGTTTGGCCCCTCGGACATGCTTTGTCATTTAATAAAATCTTGGTGATCTGTTAGTATTTTGAATTCCACATTCTCATTTATGCCACTGATTCCAATGCCCAACAAGAATTTGTCCAGCTCTGCCTTGAAAATATTCAGTGGCCGGATCTCTACCACCTTCTGAAGCAGAGTGTTTGAAAAGCACAGAATCCTCAGAGATAAAGAAAATCACCTTATCTCTGTCCTGAAAGAATGACCCCCTAATCTTAAAACAATGCTCCCCCATTCTGACTGACCCAGAAGAGGAAATTCCCTCTCATCGTCCACCTTGTCAAGACCATTCAGGATCTAATACCCTTCAATATAGTCACCCCTCACTCTTCTAAAATCCAGCAGAAGCAAGCCCAGCCTGTCTAACCTCTCCTTATATAACAAACTGCTCTTTCAAAATATCCAGTATACCTCTAAACTACTTGCAGTGCATTCACACTTTTCCTGTATGAGGGTACCAAAACGGATTGAGTATTTTGATGAGGTAGCAGACAAGGGTAATGCAGTTGATGTGATGTGACTGCACTTTCAAAAGACATTTAATAAAATTTCCTAAGCAAAGCTGAATAACTTATTCTCAGATGAATGGTTGCCCAAAATAGTGGAGGTGATAGCGCAGTGGTATTATCACGTATTATCACTGGACTGTTAATCCAGAGATCCAGGTAATAATTCTGAGGAAATAAAAACCGAAAGAACTGCGGATGCTGTAAATCAGGAACAAAAACAGAAGTTGCTGGAAGCTCAGCAGGTCTGGCAGCATCTGTGAAGAAACATCATAGAGTTAACGTTTCGGGTCCAGTGACTCTTCTTCAGAACTGTTCTGGGGACCTGGATTCAAATCCCGCCACGGCATATGATGGAATTTGAACTCAGTAAAAATCTGGGATTAAGACTCAAATGATAACTATAAATTCAGTGCCAAGAAAACCTGTCTGGTTCACTAGTGTCCTTTAGGGAAGGAAACTGACATCCTTACCTGGTCTGGCCTCCATGTGACTCCAGACCTGCAGCAGTGTAGTTGACTCTGAACTGCCCTTTGGGCAATTAGGAATGCACAATAAATGCTGGCCTAGCCAGTGATGCCCTCATCCCATGAACAAATAAAAAAAATTTCATAGACCTTTCCAAGAAAATCTGTTCTTCCAAAAAAAATTCAATGTTTAAGGTCATCTCCTTTTATAGATGATGGTTTCTGTTTAATTTAAATTTCTATTTTGAGGGACGCTGAGAGAAATCACCAAGTAACTTAAATGAAATGCCATTTTACCATTTTTATAACAAAACTTAATTTTCACCAAAGGACTTTATTGGAAGTAGCACCTGAAAGTTTAAGTCTTGATCAAGTGTTTTTGGGAGCTTGTACAATTTTAGTCCTGTATTGAGGAAACAAAGCCAGTTTGCACATCGAAAATAAGCGTGAAACGATTTGCTAGTTTCGCTGTTTTTTTCCATTTTGTTAATGAAGTAAATATTAATGCTTACATGACAAGTGTTTTGTTTTAACAGTCATCTTATGCGACAAGAGTTACCAGGTGCAAGGAAATTCTTCAGAAGGCCATTAATGATAAGAGCTGTTTTGGCAAGTTTATAGGAGATGCTACTCGTCTCACTGAAAAGTTACTGGAATTGTGCAACAAATCGGTACATGCTTTAATATATCATTATATATATATGATATTTATTTCCAAATGTGCTGTTGTGTCAAAATGGTGACGTGATCAACTTTGACAATTATTTTAAGATAATTCTACAATCTATCTTCAGTTCTTGTGAGGAAATCTCTCATGACGTTGGAAAGTTGTTTTTAGAGCTGTTTAGAGCCAGTGTACAAAGCCTGAGTTACATTGTGTTTTGTCAATATTTGTCATGTAGTTGATATCAGAGGAACTGCTCTGTTGTGAAAGACTTTTTTTTTCAGAGAAAAAGTTTGGAACTGCCTTCTATAAATGGCTGTTGATTCTTCTTGCAATTATTAATTGAAAACCTAAGATTGGTAACCAGTTAATAAAAAAATCTATCAAAGAATAGGGGCCAAAGGCAGCTAGTTCGGTCAAAGGTTGGACATCATGTGACTGAATGGCAGAACTGTCTTGGGGAGGTGGAGGGGGTTTAATAACCTACTCCTATGTCTATGTTCCTAATTTTGATCTTTAACATGTAATCTTATTGACACTTGTTCCTTCTTAATTTGCTCTTGTTAGAATTTTTGCAGACTAACTAAAAGGTTCACATTCTAAAATATGTTGCAGCATTTAAAATATTTTAATGGCATTTTTCCAATATTTTTGTTTGTAGGTGGATGGAAATACCACAACATTAAGCATGAGCGTTCACTTCAAATTGCTAAAACGACTGGTAGAAGAGCCTGCTTTCAGTGAAATCCTCATTCCTTTACAATCAGTGATGACTCCCACTCTGCCATCAACTGCAGGCACTCATGCAAACCATGACCCTTTCCCTGGTCACTGGGCCTACATTGCTGGTTTTGATGACATGGTAAGTGTCAAATTGCTCTTGTTTCATAACGTTAGTCCTCATTGATGACCTTTGTTGATGCAGCATGCTACACACCTTCTGCATGAGAAGAATAATTATGTGTAATTCAGATAGCATTTCTCTTCTGTATTGTGTTGTGATCCCAGATGTTGGGAATGCAGGACAAGTCAAATTTCTGAGAGAAACCAAGCTTGATGGACCATAAGTTGTACTTGGTGCAATTTGTTTACCATGGATGTCCGTCAATGAACATATTTAGAAGAGACCACCAACGTACTTTTTAATAAAAGAACAAAATTTTGTTACACAACAGAAAATATAAGACAACTTAGAAATATTTCAGCATAACAAAAAAAAATTCAACCCATTTCCTGTTGATACCCTTTATAAACACGCAAACCAAGTGGAGTATTAGTCCCATTTTCACTTCAATTCTTTGTGCTCAGCTAACAAGGTTATAAACATTTATTTTCAGTGACTTCTGGTACATTCACCAGATGTGATTCTGTCAGTTACTGTCTCTCCCTAAGACGTACAGGCTGATTCACTGACATTTCTTACTAACTCTAAGAAAAAAACTGCTAAATCAGTTTAAGGCTTCTTTCAGCTCTAATGGCCTGGAGACTGACAAAACAGAACTAACTTTCAGCTGTGATGAAATTGTTCTTCTGAACACTGTAAACATTAAACAATTAACTCCCTAGGTAGCTGCTCGAATTATTCAACTTAAATCACATGCTTTCTTGGAAGCTCTGTTTGAATTCACCGTTTTTTATAGAAGTTACTTCCAAAGAATTGAAAACTAACACTTTTTTTCTCTACTTTTGAATCCAAGTTTAAAGTTTTAGCGAAGATTTGTAGCTCAGGTTGTGGGTGTCTAGACAACAACAAGAGGACACAGTACGCTCTAACACACTGGCCACACTGCCCTCCGTCAAGAACATATCAGAACTGACAACAACACTCCTATGACCACTAGGAATCACGGTAGAACACAAACCCATAGCCATTCTACGACAAACACTCACAAGAATTAAAGACCCCATTCCCACAACATGCAGAACCAACGTAGTTTACAAAATACCATGCAACGACTGCCACAAACATTACATCAGACAGACAGGAAGGAAACTAGCCATCAGAATACACAAACATCAGCCAGCAGCAAAACAACATGACAAACTTTCCTTAATATCGGTACACTCGGACAATGAAAGCCATCAGTTTAACGGGGACAACGTAACCATAGTAGCCCAAGCCAAACACAGACATGCACGGGAATTGTTAGAGGCATGGTTCTCAACCCATAATGCAATCGACAAACATATAGAATTAGACCCCATATACAAACCCGTATAGATCAAAACCGGAAATGACACTCCTCACCATAACAGACCTGACAGTATAAATTCCGAGCAGAGTAGAACAACATCACTTCTTCGGAGGCCTCACTGATGATGTTACCTAGCATGGTGACAGAACGTCTGAGCGAAAACAAGCCAGCTCAGCAAGCAAGTCAACAACCTTTTAATCCAAGTTTACAAATATTACCGACATACTGCAAATGTACATCACAATTGCCGTAAGTTTAAAGCATTCTTTGAAAACCTGTATCACCTACTTCATGTTGCTGTTGAACATTATTGGTAGCTTGCATATTTTTGAAAAATAACTTTCCCAAATTTTCACCTGAACATTTCTCCCTTTTAAGCCTTTTTGGAACAACTGGTAAAATGGACCAATCTCCTTGATATTAAAAATGTTCTTTTCTTGTAAACATACCATGCAGTGCTCAGATGCCAGGAATCTCAATTATTGTGGTTGTGACAATGATGGCCCTACTAATGATCATTCTAAACAACATATCATTTCTTCAAATTATGAAGCCAGTCAGTGCTGCATCAACTATTGACTTGTGCCAACCCAAGTTTTTAGATTATTTGCTTTTCACACGAACAATGTGTTTTTTTCCTATTCAAGTAAATCACTCCTCCGTGAATGGAGATTGCTGCTTACTACTTGAGTTTAACAATCAGTTTTGCATCAAGCGTAATTTTTCAGCTATCAACTTCAGGTTCTCTTTTTGCCACTGCAAATATCCTCACTGGTAACTAATTTGTCAGTGATTTCTACAGTTTTTATTTGTCATGTCTCTCTTTTGTTATGCTTGTTCATGATGTTGATGCAAACATTTGTTTGGATTGTTATGACAAGTTATATGCCTTCTACATTTGGAACAAGATTGGGTATGAATGGTCATGCACAGTACGTTAGTTAATTGGGACCAGCTAGATTTACAGAACGTCCACAAGATGTAATGTTCTGAGGAAGGGTCACTCGACCTGAAACATTAACTCTAATTTCTCTGTACAGGTGCTGCCAGATCTGCTGAGCTTTTCCATCAATTTCTATTTTTGTGCCTGCCATGTTCTATTGGATGACCCTGAATATGTCTGTGACCTTTGGCTTGAATTTTGTTCTGATGCACCAATAAAGTCAAGCAGGGAGTGTATCCAAAAATGTACTGACATAATGAAAGTTAGTCTTGTAAACATCTATGAAGAGACCTTGGCTACTACTTCTGCAATGTGGAATTTTCTTTCCAGGCCCATATCTCCTGATATTGTACTCTCACTGTTTTCAAAAACATCTTCTAAGGTTTTCAGTTTAATGCTGGCACCACTTCTTCTTGGGGCTTGAGGAATTAATGGAAGCTTGTTAAAAATAATGTGTAAATGCAAGTTATTGGAGTAAATTACATCCAAAAATAATTTGCATTTATGTAGAATCTAAAACGTAATAAAATACACCTAGGTGCTTCTCGGAGGAGTAACCAAAGGAATAAAATGGACAGAGCTGAAGGGCAGTCAGACTCTGTATTGTAAAAAGAATATGGAGTGACTGGGGAAGGTATAAAAAGGTTTTTGATAACGGTACCAGAACCGGGAGGATCTATTTACCTGGAAAGGTTTCTCTGGAAAATAAAACGCTGAAGGGTCACCTCATCGAGGTCTTTACAGTTAGGAAGGAAGGGTTTTAATAATGTATTTTCTGAGCTGTAGGGAAGACCAAAAGCAGAGATATATAAATGCAAGTTAGCCACTAGAAAATATAAAAGAGAATTCAGAAGAGCCTTTTTTACCCAAGGCGTGATAAGAATGTGGACCAGAGGAGTTCTTGAGGCAAATGGCATAGATAGATTTATAGGAGAGCTAGATAAGCACAAGGAGGGGAATGAAATAGAAGGCAATGTGATAGTGTTAGATGAAGAGGATTGGGAGGAGGCTCAAGTACAGCATAAACACCAGTATAGATCCGTCAGGTCAAATGGTCTATGGAGATCTGTGAACTTTGGGAATAGGGAGTAAAATTTGTATTTTTGTAAAATCTTGGTTGAAGAGATTATAAAGTACATCTTATACAATTTTATGCCTAGGGCTTTGGAAATCTATCAAGACCAACATTTTTCATGTATCATCATTTAATAATATGGTGACTTATCATTGCATATTTTGTGATGATACAGATTTTCGTATTTTACTGAACATTGCATCCTGATGTTTTCACCTATTCTTCTGTTAGGTGGAGATCCTAGCCTCTCTTCAGAAGCCAAAGAAAATCAATCTTAAGGGTTCTGATGGAAAATCCTACATTATGATGTGTAAACCCAAAGATGATCTCAGGAAGGATTGTCGCCTCATGGAATTTAACTCGCTAATTAATAAGGTACGGTATTTAAAAAGCCGATATGATTACTGGAAAGTTGAAGTATCTTGTATTTTTAAGTTAATGCACATTTGAAAATCTTGCAAAGTGTTCATGAGATAAATTAGATCTCAACGCAGTGTTTCATGAATGCTTCACAGGGCGAATATGTGAACTTTACCACCATCTAAATAAAATGACCTAGCCCTTATGTCATTATGGATGAATTATTTTTATAAGGAAGGATGTGATTGGCAGTTTGGGTGTTATACACAGGATTTTATAATAGCTTTTGTTTCATATTATTGTCAAAATTCGCTTGAAAAGCCCAGTAGTCTTAAAAATCCTCCATGTTCACATAAATAAATTGCATACTACTCTAGCAGTCTTGCTGCTTCAGAGGTTACAGAAGTGAAAAGCTCAGCAGGTCTGGCAGCATCTGTGGAGAGAAATCAGAGTTAATGTTTCCCCTTGAGTGACCCTTCTGAAAAAGTGTCACTCAACCCGAAATGTTAATTCTGATTTCTCCCTGCAGATGCTACTTGACCTCCTGAGCTTTTCCAGCAATTTCTGTTTTTTGTTCTGATTTCCAGCATCTACAGTTCTTTCATTTTTTGTTTAGGAGGTTACAAGGCTGAGAATGTAAATTGTCAAATATAAGTGGCCAGCCTGAAAAATATAGATTTTAATGTTAGGCTGATTTGATGGAGATTTGTTATGTGATCTGGGTGGTGTAGATAAAGAAGGGACTTCAGAAGTTCTTTTTCCTTGAAAGTTTAGTAATTTTTGGTGAATCTTTTCTGGAAATTAAATCAATGGAGTAAAATATGTGAAAGAACGAGCTATACGTGGGCATTTCTGCCAACTGTTTCCACAGATATACAGGCTGGTGTCCTCATGATCATCAAATTTCTGTACTTGTTGACTTTCTCATTAATTATTTCCTTTGCTGTTATGAGTTTATTTATAAAACATTTTCCATATTGTTGGCCCTATATTCTTTTAGCTGAACAGTGTTTGCTGGTTATGTTCGTGGTCCCCAGGAGCATGTTAGTATTTCAAGAATGACTGACAGACAAGTTTGAAAACCATTACTTTTGTCTTTGATTTTGAATCTGCTGCTTTGATATTAGCCAGCTGAGTAATGACTATGTTGTTAAACATCGCCTTGTTGACAATTGATTTCTGATGATTAACAGTGCTTACGAAAAGATGCAGAATCTCGCAGGAGAGAACTTCACATCAGGACGTATGCAGTCATTCCTCTGAATGAGGAGTGTGGTCTAGTTGAGTGGGTTAACAACACCGCTGGATTAAGACATATTCTGAATAAGTTGTACAAAGAAAAAGGTAAGGATTAAGTATATCAGAACTGTGTTTTGTTGAAGTTACAATAACTAGATGCTGTTGTGTTTGATACACTGTGATCAATTCAAATGTGCTGTGAGGTACATGGAAAATACAACACCTAAATTACAACTTGTATGCTTTGTATTTTAAAATTAGTTTTGCTGCAGAGGGAAACATTTAATGGCAATATAAGCTAGGTAGAACAGTTTTAAACGGGCTGCAGGAACGCAGTTTGAAAAAAAACATAAGGCATGCTTGGTTCCGTAAATAGTGCAAGTAAACTTCTACAAAATGCTGGCAATGCCACAACTGAAGTATCGTGTCTAATTCTAGGCAGTGCACTTGAAGGAAGATGCAAGTCCTTAGTTAATAAGCAGAGTTGTTTTACACAAATCATACTTGAAATGTAGCACAAATGGAGCGATACAGAAGCTGGAGTGATCTACTTTGAACATTGGGGAAGATTTAACAGAGATGTTCAAAAATAATAAGTAGCTTTGCTTAGGTTGAGCGAGGAGGAGGAACAGTTGTTAATGGATAAAAGCCTAAATGGAAGACAGTCTATATAAGGTAATTAGCAAAACAACTGGAAGCAAGAAGGAAGTTTTTTTAATCATTGTGCTGTTATGGTTTGAAATGTCCTGCCAAAGTGGAATAAGCTGCTTCAATAATAATTTTCAAAGGGCAGTTGGATAAAGGGGAAAAGCTTTGTGGAAAAGGCAAGAAAATGGGGTGAATTGGATAGCTCTTTGAAAGAGCTTGCACAGGAAAATTGTTCTTGCTGTGTTGCATCATTCACTGATTCAACATGATTGGTGTGTAATTATCTGTAAAGTGTGTTTGATTTTTAACTTGTCTGTTTTATGCACATTTTCTTAAGAGTTTGGTACAAGTGTAACATTTTATTTCACATCACTGTGTTGCCATCACAGTATATTTTGTCAATGAGCCAAATGTATCACCTGGCTTCTCTGTATCCTGTTCCAAACCCTACACTTCACCAATCTCCCTTTCGTTTCTTACCCACACAATATCACAGTACAGACAAAGTTGTAATTTTTTGTTCTGAAGCTTGGTGTTTTGGTCAGAAATTGAAGAGTGCAATTTAAGACAATGTTTGAAAGGTGAGGGAGAATAACTTGGCTTAAATATCACCACAGAGACATGAACCTTGAATGGTGCATGGTGCTATTTCCTATCTGTATATGTAGGCTTAATTTCTCCCAAAAAGTGAGAAGGATTATGCTCACATGAAATAAATTTTCAGCACAAGACAGCAGAATTGAAAGATTTTAAATTCGTTATTATTCGCAAAAGATACATTAAATATTTCTTCAATTGTAATACTAAATTCATAAGTGTACACATTTTGACAAATGTGTTTTGATTTTGTTATTGCTCCTGATATTCTAAGATTTGACCATGGTTTCTTACAGGTGTTTACATGATCGGTAAAGAACTGCGTCAGTGCATGCTGCCAAAGCAAGCGCCTTTGGAGGAGAAATTATCTGTATTTAAGCAGCAGCTTCTGCCCCGTCACCCTGCTGTCTTTCATGAATGGTTCCTTAGGACTTTCCCTGATCCAACTTCATGGTCAGTTTCTTAAATTCAAAAGAACAATAAGGGATTCAGGATATCTGTCTCACTTCTTATTTTTAGGTCACTCCTTAGCGAACTTTATGACTCTTTGTAGGAGTGGTTTATTTTAATAAAGGGAACTAGGTGTATTGCATAATCATTTCAGATTCAGTTACCATAAAAGTTTGCTAGCTTGGTTGTGAGGATCAATCACTGCTTGGACAAAGGTTAAACACACCACCTGTGAGGTCATGAACAATGGATTAGTTATTGCATATCTTGGGAAGATAATGAGATTGATGATTGGATTAATTAGTTAGAAAAATGATAGATTCCCAGTCAAGTTGTAATGGTTGAATGGTTAATAATTAATTTTTCAGACTAGTATTTAATACTAATGTGCCGTAAATCATATATGTAGTTGACCATAATGCTTTCTGATGGATGAGTTATGTTGTTTTGAAACTTTAACCTTGTAATTCTTCCAATTAGGTACAGCAGTAGATCAGCTTACTGCCGTTCAGTTGCTGTAATGTCAATGGTTGGCTACATTCTGGGTCTAGGTGATCGCCATGGAGAAAACATTCTGTTTGATTCTTTAACAGGAGAATGTGTTCATGTGGACTTCAACTGTCTTTTTAATAAGGTAATTGTTTCTTCTTCTAAAAGAAGCATAACTGCACTGTATTTATTATTTATGATGTTACGAAGTCACATAACTTAATGATAAAAGATCTATTATAGAGACCCTTCAGTTTGTTTTTGGCCAGAAGTCATTTCAGGCTTTTTGCTCATGCAGTGAAGAGATGCTTGCTGCTGACTTCAAAGAAGGCTGCCCACAAAGATCTAACAATCCCTGCAGCAACACCTTTCTTGATGTTATATAGATAGGTGACATCTTCAGGGATTTCCTGATGTTATCAAGCAGGCTAAAGAACCAATTACACATTAGAATTCTTACCAAAAACAAACCAGCGGGTAAAAAGCACTTGATTATTTCTCATTTTTCCATCATTTTGCAGATAGCAAAATAAAGGAGGAGGTGATGACCCAGTGGTATTATCACTAGACTATTAATCCAGAAACTCAGTTGAATCCAATGCATCATCCTCCGACACTTCCGCCATCTGCAATCCGACCCCACCACCAAAGACATTTTTCCCTCCCCACCCTTATCTGCTTTCCGGAGGGACCACTCTCTCCGTGACTCCCTTGTCCGCTCCACACTCCCCTCCAGCCCCACCACACCCGGCACTTTTCCCTGCAACTGCAGGAAATGCTACACCTGCCCCTACACCTCCCCCCTCACCCCCAGCCCAGGACCCAAGAAGACCTTCCACAACAAGCAGATGTTCACCTGCACATCTGCAAATGTGGTATACTGTATCGGCTGTTCCAGATGTGGCCTCCTCTACATCGGGGAAACCAAGCGGAGGCTTGGGGACCGCTTTGCGGAACACCTACGCTCGGTTCGCAACAAACAACTGCACCTCCCAGTCGCGAACCATTTCAATGCCTCCTCCCATTCCTGAGATGACATGTCCATCCTGGTGCCACAACGATGCCACCCAAAGGTTGCAGGAACAGCACCTCGTAATTCGCTTGGGAACCCTGCAGCCCAATGGTATCAATGTGGACTTCACAAGCTTCAAAATCCCGCCTCCCCTAACCGCATCCCAAAACCAGCCCAGCTTGTCCCTGCCTCCTGAACCTGTCCTTCCTCCCACCTATCCCCTCCTCCCACCTCAAGCCCCACCTCCATCTCCTACCTACTAGCCTCATCCCACCCCCTTGACCTGTCTGTCCTCCCTGGACTGACCTATCCCCTCCCTAACTCCCCACCTACACTCACCTTTACTGGCTCCACCCCCGCCTCTTTGACCTATCTGTCTCCTCTCCACCCATCTTCTCCTTTATCCATCTTCTATTCGCCTCCCCCTCTCTCCCTATTTATTTCAGAACCCCCTTCCCCTCCCCCATTTCTGAAGAAGGGTCTAGGCCCAAAACGTCAGCTTTCCTGCTCCTCTGATGCTGCTTGGCCTGCTGTGTTCATCCAGCTGTACACCTTGTTATCTGAATGTTCTGACGACCTGCGTTTGAATCCCACCACGTCAAACTGTGGAATTTGAAATCAGTTTTTAAACATCTGGAATTAAGAATCTTCTAATGACCATGAAACCATTGTTGATTGTCAAAAAACCCATCTGGTTCACTAATGTCCTTCAGAGAAGGAACTCTGCCATCCTTACCTGATCTGGGCCTACATGTGACTCCAGATCCATAGCAATGTGGTTGACTGACTGGTCTCTGGGCAATTAGGGCAATAAATGCTGGTCTAGCTAGTGATGCCCCCATGTCGTGAATGAATAAAGAAAATTAGATCAGTACATGCATCTAGGATTGAAGTAAAAGCTGAAATATTTGGGAATTTTTGTGATAATGAAATTTGGCATTCCACCTGTGTACAGTTAGTTTGTCAAGATCAGGGAAGTTGTTTACATACTAATTATGAATTCATATATCATTAAAATTCCAGTTACACCTAAACCAGCAACACAAGTTTTACAATATTTTTCAGCAAAATTAATTGCACCAAATGGGAGTTAATATTTAATTTAAACAACTTCAGAAGTTGTCCATCTGCAGTTATCTATCTGCATCACTATATCCTGTGGAGGAATAGGAGCCGTTTTCTACCTTTTAACTGCCCATGTGCAGATAGCAGACTTACTGTCAGTCTCACAGTTAATAATGATAGTAAATGCTGACAGTTCCACCATCATCATGCTACAAAATCTGTGATACTTAATCATGTGCAGCTTACTGGTAGTTATGGCTCAGTACTGCAAAAGACTTCAGATGCTCTTTCTGGATAGAAACATCTATCAGTCTGTTTCAAGGAGGAAGTGCTTTATGTCCAAGCCAATTTCCTCCTGTTGTTCTAACATAGAGCAATATGCAAACCTGCATCCTACCGTTATCTGTGTCGTGCTTTTCAGGCCACCAGCTTGATACTCAGTCAATGTCACTCAATTTGTATCTGTTAACTTTTGAAGAAATGGATTACCGAGGCATTTAATCCAGAAGTAAATCTGTCCAGATTCTGTTTTCAACTGCAGCAACTCTATGGAGTGAAAGGAAAAAACTTATAAAATTCTGGAGGTTGCAAAAAAAAGTTCTCGTTTTCTTAGGGGGAGACCTTTGATGTTCCAGAAGTTGTCCCTTTTCGTCTAACCCACAATATGGTCCATGCCATGGGCCCTATGGGGACAGAAGGTTTGTTCCGCCGAGCCTGTGAAGTGACTTTGAGGTTAATGCGTGATCAACGAGAACCTTTAATGAGGTAATGCCACAGAGCTTGATAAATTATAGTTAGAATTATTTCTGATAAGATATTTGACTACTTGTATAAGCTTTAATTATAAATATTGATTGTTTCAACTTCATTTTATTTGGTGTCCTCATTGTCAGAGCTACCAATTATTTCTTTCACAGTGTTCTGAAAACTTTTCTGCATGACCCATTGGTGGAATGGAGTAAGCCAGTAAAAGGAAGTACAAAAGTACAACCCAATGAAACTGGGGAGGTAATCAATGAAAAGGTCAGTGAGAGAATGTCTTCCTTGTGTTGGTTTTAAAAGGTTTTCTGTTTTCCCCTTCAAATCTATCTATCCTTATCCTACAGTGATAACTATAGTTAGGTCTATTGCTCTTCAGAAAGTGGCAACTGCTACTTTGTTTTTAAAAAGCATCAAACAATTTTACAGATCTGCTTAGCAGAGGTCGATGAACCACTGCTTCCTGATTTACTTTGACTTTAACCTTTTAAACTCTCATACTGAGTTTTGGCCTTTTGCTTTGCATTCTCAATTTTAGTGAAGAAAGGAGCTGATTTGACTAGAGCTACAAAATTTGCTGCACGATTATTTTTCTCTAAATATTTATTGAGTAGCTTAAAAGTGTTAAATGAGGTAGCATGCGACGTCAGGAGTAGAGTTGTTGCCTTTTATAAAATTATCAGGAAATTTGATGAAAATACTCCCTTTCCAACTGAAAGTAGTCACCTTTGAGATTAAAGTAAATCAGGTATGGTTGGTGCAGTCTATCACAGAGGAAGAAGGACTGTTGATTGAAGTGTGAATAAATTTAAAAAGGGAGAGAATTAGTGTTTTGACATTTGAAATGTTGATTTGCTTGTTTCAGGCCAAGACCCATGTTCAAGACATAGAAAAACGGCTACATGGAGTGATTAAGACGAGAAATAAGGTGAAGGGTTTGCCCTTATCAATTGAAGGTCATGTTCACTACCTTATTCAAGAAGCAACAAATATAAACCTACTGTGTCAAATGTATCTGGGCTGGGCTCCATACATGTGATAGCATTCACAAAAACTGCAACTCGGGTGTCAGGATGAAGCAAGGTATTTATTTGACATCCTTTATCCCCAACATTAAATCACCCACCACCAGTTGCTAACCTTTCAAGAAGCTACATTTAAATCACTGCAGTACACCTTTGCAGTGATTTTCTTTTGGCAACTTATTTCAGGAAAAGAACAATATATTCTTGGCAAATAGTTTGCATGATGAAGACTGAGAGGATATGGGATTCTCCTTCAATTCCAGAAGCCAAAATAAACAACAAACAGATTTTTGTTTTACTGTCTTCTACTGATCGCATGACAAAGCTAAACAACTTGAAATTTATGGATATCCCAGAGACTGAGCAAGAAAGGATAAATGGTTTGCTTAGTTCAAGACTGGGAACAGGTTAAAAGATTGAACTTCACTTACCTCATTGAGGCCAGAGCCTGCAGCATGCTGTCATCGTTCATGATATTGATTAATTTGTATTGTAAACATGATGATGTATTAACGCTTTTGAAAAAAGAGGATTGATCATCAAGACAATTTATTGGAATGAATGTGACTTTTCATTAAGTTCTGTTAATGGTACTCCATTAAGATTGAGAAAAGTCCATTTTATAACTGACAAAGCTATGGGATTCTGAGGTACAAGGAAATGTACAACCCACTGCATTTGAATGGAGACTGAAGATCTTTGCATATCTGTAAGAAAAGTGAAATACAACTTCCACTGATTCCATTAGCTAATACATGGTAGGTGACACTGAAGTCAGTGTTGGGTTAGTCTTGTTATTTTGATTTTCATTGTCCTCCTTAGGTACCATGTGCAATGTTTTTGGTGCAGGTGACACCAATTCATGTAAATTATGTCATGGTTTCTACTTCCAATTTATAAATATGAAGTGTTAGAGAACCATGTGCACATTTGTTGAGAATTACTTTCATGTTGCTATTTTGTGTGCCATTTCAAGGATAGTAGTAAAAACTTCACAGCAGAAAAAAAACTTCTGAAGAAATGTTTGTACAGGGTTGTACAATCTGAAATTGAATGTTTTGGACCAGATTTTCTATTTTTATGTTCACAATCTTAGTCCACATTAATGTGTAAAATAAACCATGGAGTAGAAACTTATTTTCTTTTTATAAGAACATAAGGAGTAGGCCATCTGGCCCTTCGACCCTGCCCCGCCATTTAATAACATCATGGCTGATCTTTTTGAGACTCAGCTCCACTTATGCGCCCACTCACCATAACCCTTAATTCCTTTACTGTTCAAAAATTTATCTAGCCTTGCCTTAAACACATTCAGCGAGGCAGCTTCAACCGCTTCACTGGGCAGGGAATTCCACAGATTCCCAACCCTTTGGGTGAAGAAGTTCCTCCTGACCTCAGTCCTACATCTGCTTCCCTTTATTTTGAGGCGATGCCCTCTAAGCCAATATTTTAACACTCTTGTTAAACTCAGCAGTGTTATAACCTTTCCACTGACCATTCGTTAATTAAAAATATTGTTTGTCGAAAAGGAATATTGCTTGACACCCTGTACCACCTTGTACCAAAGTGTGACATCAAACTGCAGCTGCATGTTATAGGTCTCTGTAGGTGGCCTGACATTACCAGTTGAGAGATGCTTCTCAACCATGGCAGGGAGCATCCATTTTATGAAAGCCATGTAGCCACTAAGGAATAAGTAAGAATAAAGTGGAAAAAGAGTCATATCAGACTCAAAACCTTAACTCTATTTCTCTGTCCATTGGTGCTGCCAGACCAGGAGTTTTTCCAGCATTTTCTGTTTTGTCACTAAAGAATATTATTTACTCTCCTGTTGGGGATTGTCAGTTATTGTAAATACAGGTGAAGTACAGGAAAAAGGTTCTTTTGACTGTGAAGAAAGGGGTGCGAGAGGTTAGGTACTTGTAATAGAAAAGTGCACTTCACAAGGTATTTTACAAATGAATATATTTAAATAGCAACTTTTGAGTAAAATGTCCCAAAGTGGTCCCTTCACAGAACAAATATCAATTGACAAAGCGTTACATCAGATATTTGGACAGGTGACAGGGCGTAGGTTTTAGAATGTCTTAAAAGGAAGAGAGTGAGGTTTAAGAGAAAGTTAGGAAGGTTTTCACCGAGACAACAGAAGCACAACTGCCAGTGGTGCTGATGAAAATCGTAGATATGTTAGAGGTAGAATTTGAGTAAAACACTGTTCTCTGAGAGTTGCAGGGCTGGAAGAGATTACAGAGATAAGGTGAGACAAAGCCATTGAATGATTTGAGCACATTGTGAGAACTTTAAATTGAGGTATTGCTGACTTTGAGAAAATGTAGGCCAGTGAGCAGTGGTGTGTTAGTGGGATTCTGTGCACATGAAGATACAGGCAGTGCAGTTGATTGAATCAGGTGAAATTTATGGAAGACTGACCGGGATATACTGGAATATTTGAGGCCAGAAGAAACAAAAACATGGATGAGAGTTTTAGCAGCAGTTGAGCTCAAATAACAATGGAAGTGGAAGTAGACTGGCTTGGTGATGAAGAGGATATGTGAATGGTAGTTCAACTTTGTGTCAAATAGGATGGCAAGGTTGCAAATAGCGTGGACAAATCTTGTGTAATTTATCCAACAGCAAATGGCTTAATCTTAATATTTGTCTGAATGGCCTATGTATATGGGATATATGGCCATTATGGTTTGTTAGGATTTTAAAGCTTTTCATTCCCATCCCCACTCCACTCAGCGTTAATTTATGCAAATAAAAACTAACAGCATTGCTGGCCTGGCCAGTGATGGCCACATCCTGTGAATGAATTTAAAAAATGAATAAATTAAAGATTTTTAAAATCAAACCAGGAGTTGTCAGGATGTAAAATTTGAAAATCTTATGACCAATAGTCATCAGTTGGAGGTACTCCTATTGTTTGGTTATCATCCTTTCAAACATAGGCTTAAAGGGGCTTAAGGAAGGCCTCTTCGAAATGAACTGAACCAGTCCATCATCCAAATGACAAAACTTAACATGTGTGACGAATAGAAGGGCTATAATGTTTTGATTTCATTTGTTTGTCAGGTTTTCTTATAAAATACTGTGTAGTATGTATCTTATCAGCAGCTTTGACATTGCAACAGCCATTTTCATCATGTAAACATAAAACCATTTTTATCATAGTTCTATCCCAGATAGTGTCACACCAATCAAATGGGTGTGTAGCAAATAAAATTATTATACAGATAATAGGTGCAAATTTTTTAAGGCTGCTTTGGCATGTAGTGAATAGATGGAACTGTTGGAGCAGTCTTCCTTGATGAGGAAACACCTAGAGTCATTGAGTCATGCAGCATGGAAACAGGCCCTTTTACCAACTAGTTCATGTCGACCATGATCTGAAATTAAATTAGTCCCATTTTCCTGCATTTGGTCCATATCCCTCCGAAGCTTTCCTATTCATGTACTTATCCAAATTTCTTTTAAATGTTGTAACTGTACTCGCATCTACCACTTCTTCTCACAGTTCTTTCCACACATGAAAAACACTCTGTTAATAAAATGTTGCCCCTCAGGTGTTTTTTTAAAACTTCCTCCTCTCACCTTAAAAATGTGCCCCCTAGTTTTGAACTCCCCCATCCTAGGGAAAAGATCCTTGCTATCCACTTTATCTATACCCCTCATGGTTTTATAAATCTCTATAAGGTCACCCCTCAACCTCCTATATTCCAGTGAAGAATGTCCCAGCCTATTTTTATAACTCAAACTCTCCACTCCTGGCAACATCCTGGTAAATCTTACCTGAACCCTCTCCAATATATTTTGTTTTGTAACCTTGATTGGCAGCTCTCCAGGGCTGAAAATGAACTGAATTATCCATGCCACACTTGCTGTCTGAGCTAAGTACTTCTAGCATCTGCAGTGTTTTGCATTTTACATATGTTTGCTGACCTGGCAACTGCTTAATATAGTAATTACTGTTGATAAAGTGGACTTGGATATGCACTGAAGTTATTCCCCTTCTAGTAGGCACATCCACATATTGAATAAGAAACTTTTCTTGTATGCACTTAACAAATTCATCCCCATCCAAGCCCTTAACACTGACAATCCCAGTATACGTTAGGAAAATTAAAATCTCCTACCATTACAATTATCCTTACAGATATCTGAAATCTCCTTATATATTTGCTTCTCAATTTCCTGCTGACTATTAGGGGTTTATAATACAATCCCAACAACATCCCTTCCTTATTTCTCATGTAACTTCACTGGACAATTTCCCAGGAATATCCTCCCTAAGTACAGCCATAATGTTATCCCTAACCAAAAATGCCCCTCCCCCTTGCCTCCACACCCTGGAACATTAAGCTGTCAGTTCTAAGCCACATTTCTGTAATAGCTATGATATCCCAGACCAATGTTCCCAACCATGTCCTCAGTTCATCTGCCTTAGCATAGAATCCCTACAGTGAGGAAACAGGCCCTTCGGCCCAACAAGTCCACACTGCCCCTCGGAGCATCCCACCTAGACCCATCCCCCTATAACCCACCTAAGCTACACATCTTTGGACACTATGGGCAACTTAGCATGGTCAATCCACCTACCCTGCATATCTTTGCACTGTGGGAGGAAACCGGAGCACTTGGATGAAACCCACACAGACACGCGGAGAATGTGCAAACTCCACACAGACAGTTGCCTGAGGGTGGAATCGAACCTGTGTCCCTGGTACTGTGAGGCAGTAGTGCTAGCCACCGTGCCACCTCGCAAATCCGTCAGGCCTCTTGCATTGAAGTAAATGCAGTATAATTTATCAGCCTTAGCTCGTTCTCTGCTAAGCTCTTGTCCGTCTTGACTATTTCACTTGCTCCCCTTATCTGCCTCAGGCTCTTCTCTTTTCTTGTATCACTTTGGTTCCCCCCTACTAGTTTAAAGCCTCCCAAGTAGCACTGGCAAATCTCCCCAGAAGGAAGTTGGTCCCCTTCCAGTTCAGGCGGAATTCGTCCCTCTCATACAGGTTATTTCTACCTCTGAAGAGATCCCACTGCTCCAAAAATGTGACTCTTTGTCCGTTGCACCAGGTCCTCAGCCACACATTCATCTGCTCTATCCTCCTATTCCTACTGCCAATAGCACATGGCACCAGTAGTAGTCTAGATATTACCACCCTCGAGGACCTGCTTTGTAACCTCCTGCCTAGTTTCCTATATTCTTTCTGCCAAACCGCTTCTCTTTCCTACCTATGTCGTTGGTACCGATGATAACCTCCTGCCAGTCACTTCTTGTTTCAGAATTTTCTGCATCCTCTCTGAGACATCCTTGACCCTGGTACCAGCGAGGCAACACACCATCCTGATGTCTCACGGATGGTCGCAGAAATGTCTGTCTTTGCCTCAGACTAGAGAGTCTTCTATTGCAATCAATAGCTTGGAACCTGACATACCCCTCATTATAGTACAGCCAGTCACAGGACCAGAAACGTGGCTGTCAGTGCTATACTCCCCTGAGAGGCCATCCCCCTACAGTGTCCAAAACATCATAGCTGTTTGAGATGGGGTTAGCCACAGGAGACTCCTGTATTACCTTACCACCTCTCCTGCCGTTCTGAGCAATCAACCATCAACCATCTACCTGACTGCATCTGCAGTGTTTCCACCTTCCTGAAACTACCATCCATTGTTGCTCCAACTGATTCATGTGGTCTGATAGGATTCACAACCAAACAAACTCCCTGCAGGCATATTCTCCAGGAATATTCAAAATCTCCCTGATCTCCCACATCATCCTACTAAAGCCATTTCTGCCCCTTTAACAATCTACAGAACCAGAAATTACCTAAAAACAAACAGAGATGGTAGGAACTGCAGATGCTGGAGAATCCGAGACAACAAGGTGCAGGGCTGGATGAACACAGCAGGCCAAGCAGCATCATAGGAGCAG